TTGTGAGAACCACAATGCTGTGAGCTTGGAAATATGGCCTGAGCTTGTTTGCCGCCATCACTACTGCCAGCGCAGCCTTCTCTATGGGCGCATATCGTGTTTCGTGGCCTACCATGGTATGACTCACATAATACACTGGTCTCTCCTCATTCGAACATGGTTCCCTGGATATGAGAACCGCACTCACAGCAATGTGGGATACTGCTATATACAAATATAACACTTCCTTGGATTTGGGCGCCGTCATCACTGTTGGGGCCGTGAGCACTTCCTTCAAGTCGTCGAATGCCCGGCTACACTCCTCGGTCCACTTGAATTTGGAGGCCTTTTTTAACACTTTAAAAAAGGGGGCGCCCCGGTCGGAGGCTCGGGGGATGAAGCGCCCAAGCGCAGCCAGCCTGCCCGTCAATCCTTGCACTTCCTTCGGAGTTCGCGGGGGCGCCAGACTCAATATCGCCTCAACCTGCTTGGGATTTGCTTCAATTCCCCTCTTGGTTATCATGAATCCCAGAAACTTTCCCGCTTCTGCCAAAAACACACACTTCTTGGGGTTGAGCCTTAGCTTGAAGAAACGCATGGTCTCAAAAGTTTCACGTAGGTCCCCAAGGTGGTCTAGGCGCCTCTTGCTTTTCACGATTAGATCGTCCACATATGCCTCAACGTTTCTTCCTAGTTGCTTTCTGAACACTTGATTGACCATTCGCTGGTAGGTTGCCCCCGCGTTCTTTAGACCGAATGCCATCACTTTGTAGCAAAAGTTACCAAAAGGTGTCATGAAAGCTGTCTTCGCCCTGTCCTCTTCTGCCATGGGGATTTGATGGTAGCCTGAGAACATGTCGAGGAAGCTAAGTGCCTCATGATAGGCCGTCGCATCCACCAGGAGGTCAATACGTGGCATAGGATAAGCATCTGTGGGGCACGCACGGTTAAGGTTCGTAAAATCCACACACATTCTCCAATCTCCCGATGGCTTTGGGACGAATACTACATTCGAGAGCCAAGTAATGTATCTTGCTTCCTCCACGAATCCCGCCTCGAGCAACTTATCCACCTCCCGACGGAGCGCTTCTTCCTTTTCCTGAGTCAAGTTCCGCCTCTTTTGTTGAACGGGCCTCTTACCCTCCTCCACAGCCAGCCTATGCATCGCAATTTCCGGCGACACACCGGGCATGTCCTGCGCACTCCAAGCAAACAACTCTCCGAATTCCCGTAACAACTCGATTAGTGGAGCCCTCATGTCCTCTGGCGCCTGCTCCGATATTCTCACTTGTCGTTCTGGACGCCCTTCATCAATTGCCACCACCAATTCCCCGTCCAGGGATTCAGCTCTAGGCGCCTCCTCAGATCGGATATCAACGACATTCAACCTGTGTCGTCGGACGCCTCGCTCCGACTCTCGAGCATAACGTGGGGCGCTCCTCCCTCGTGAGATGCCTATACCCTGCGGTGCCACGAATTTCAATGACTGGTGACACGTAGAAGCCACCCCATTAAACTGTGCTAATAGGGGGCGCCCTAGTATCACATTGTACGGCGATGGGCAATCCACAATTCCGAACTCTACCGAGTGAGTCACACAATGTACTTCATCTCCCAGAGTCACTGGGAGTCGCACACGCCCGATGACTTGGGCAGGCGCCCCTGAAAACCCTATTAGCACCGAGCTTGAAGGCCTTACCAACTCCGGCGCTAGCTGCATGCGCTCAAACGTGCTTTTGAACAGAACATCCATTGAACTTCCCGTATCGACTAACATTCTCTTCACCTTGCAACCCGCTATCACGCCTTGTATCTCCAATGCCTCCTCCGATGGAACTTGACATGCCTCCTCGGGCTCCTGGTTGAAGTGTATTTGCACCGCTGCCTTTGCTTCGCTCGATGCCGCTCTTAGGCGCCTCGTCTTCTCCAGCTTATCCCTCAAATCAAAGGTTCCGGTAATCGATTCCACCGTGAGCCTCACACGGCTGGGGTCACCACTTTGATCCACCTCAAAGGGTGGTGGGGGTATCTCGGGCGCCTCATTCAGTACTGTTCTTTTTGTGCCTCTTGCGCTTTTGGCGCCATGGGCGGCCCGGATACCTCCGCCTCAATGCGCCTTATAGGCGTCCGTTCTGCCACTCTCGTCGTGTAAGCGCGATGGGTTCTGTCCTCCCCCCGTCTGATGAAATCATTGAGCATTCCCTTATCCGCTAACGTTTGGAGTTCGGCCTTCAACTGATAGCAATCAGCCGTGTGGTGCCCCTTGTCCCGATGGAAATCGCAGTACCGATCAAGATTTTTCTCGTTTGGTTGTCCGCGCATTGGTCCCGGCCATCGTATGTGGTACCCTCTGTCCTTGACGTATTGCAAGACATTCTTCAGCGTATCGTTGTATTCCGTGAAATTCCCCGATGACCTTGGCGCCTGGCGTTGCATTTCCGGCCTCCTCTGAGGCATGACACTTCCTACCGCTGGCCTGGACGCCTGTCTTCCTTCTATCTCTTCACCCCTCATACGCCTCTTTTCAGCTCTACGTGCTGCCAACGTTTCTTCCAACATGATCACTTTCTGCACCGTTCGATCCAGGTCCTCCGTAGACACCACGTCTCGCTTCGAGAGGGCTCGACACAATTCTTCACTGGTCGTGCAAGCGTCTAAACATACCCCCAACACCGCTGGTTGCACATCCTTGACCGCCATGGCGACTGAAATCCATCGATCATAGAATTCCCGTAGCGCCTCCCCCTCTCTCTGTCTTACTTTGAATAAGGCGCCTATGGTTAGAGTTCGGCGCTTCCGGCTAGCGAACTTGGACAAGAATAACTCAGCGAATTGTTCGAAGCATTCGATACGCCCTTCATCAATTTGATGATACCAGTCCAAAACAACTCCCGCGAACGTGGACGGGAATACCTTGCACAATGTCGCATCGGAGCTATTGTACAATTGCATTTTGGTGAAGTAGCTATTCAAATGGTCCTCCGGGTCAGCCACCCCGTCGTAACTTGGTAATGGTGGTATCGTTGTTCCAGCTGGCTCCATCAGAATGTTTCGTGCGAGAGGTTGTCGAACACCGAAGCGCTTTTCCAGACGCCTAGGCGCCCACATATTAGGCTCCTCAACGCCATTTGTTTGTGGTTCAGCTTGCTGCCTCCAAGTGCGTGGGCGCCCCTGATATCCGGCGCCTAAGTCGGCATGCTGCGAAATCCCATACTGCATCGACTCAGAATCTTCGTTCGCCCTCTCCCTCTTTCTGATACCCGGATTATATGTCATCACGTCTTCGCTCCTTCCCCCTTCAATTTCCCTCCTAAGAGCTGCAATGGCCCTATCCTGATCAGCAATGATTCGGAACAACTCCCTTTTTGTCAATGACTCATCTTCCCGTGGTGACAGGCGCTCATGGCTAGCCTCCCCTTCTACATCCATTGGTGTCTCCGGACTCGACTGGCGCTCACCATCCCCCAAATTGGAACCCTCTGATCGGGCAACATCTCCTCCATTCTCCTCATCAAAATTTTCCATGCGCCTGATTCACTTCTTCCCCCTACCTGGCGCGCCAATTGTTTAAGCCTCAACACTCCGCACTCAATTCTTTCCCAATTCTCTCCTCGTCGAACAGTATTCTTCACAAGGCGCCCCGACCCTGCACAGATAAACGCCTAGAGGGCTTGGATTGCCCGTTAGCACTCCGAAGCGCAAGTCAGATCCTGCCTTTTAGAGAGAGAAGTAAACTCAGGAACTTAGTGAGAGAAGCCAACCTGCGTAAATGCTACCTACCGGGTACTATTTATACTGGCCGAGGTCCCAACGATCTTCTTGGCATTTCAACCCACGTCAGCTCTTCATTTAATGCATGGTACGGTACAGCAGTCAGGCGCCTATACGTGGCCGCTTCAGAACGCCCCGAGGGGGGCGCCCAGCAGGGACCACAGCCGCCATGTGGCTCGTTTCCCTGCTTGCCCTTCCGTACCCTTTGTCCTCATGCCTCCTTTGTCGTCATGCGCCTGTCCTACCTTGAGAGGCCTAACCCATTGTTTGGGCCTTTTCAAACCTAAATTATTCCTTTTTGGGCCCGTTTCACTATTCCCACCTCATGGGCTTGGGCCTATTTATACATCCCCAACATAAACCTTGTAAATCTGTGTGTTCTTTATTTACTTTTTTGCATTGTCAATTTCCCAATCGATTATAATAAGTACATCAGCAATTTCAAGTGCATCGAGTACGCCTGTACCCATTTAATTACGATTTGGTCTTCATTTCAATTAAGTTGACAGATAGATGCTAATCTTCGTACTTTCTTTTATACCTAGATAATCATGTCTTCCAAGCTCGAATGATGGATAGTACAAGTGTGATTGGCATGGAAAGTTCAACTCAAGGTGCAAGTCAAGCTTTTCCCCATGGAAGTTGGTGGTTATGTGGATGAATAAGTGAATCTGAGATGAAGAGAATGAGGACCTTAATGTTGAAGATTATGGTAATGACATTCTTCATAGTTTGCAAACAGACATCATGATGAATGATGATGATTTTGGCGTTAGATTTGGTTTTTTTTTTTTTTTTGGTTTTATGAACTTCTTAGATTTGGTTGATGTTTTGATGATAATGCTTGTGGTGGAGTTTATCTTTGCTCTTCGTTATTGTCTCTTTTTATACAGGATTGTTATGGTCTCGGGAGCGGTTACGGTGCTAATTGTACAATAGTTAGCACCGTCCTAATCAAGGGAAAAACTACTACTACTAGTTTGAATTAGTAGTGATTTAGCTTAGATGTTGTATTGATTTTATAATAATTCGTAATGATTTCGTTATTTTTAGTAGCGTTTTTTGCTAGTTATCACGGTGCTAATCCCTATAAGAATGAGCACCTAATCCCATTCCTATGGTCTCTTTTTAAGTTCGTGTTTGTGTATTGAAATTGATGTCAAACTGTACTTCCTTAATCGCCAATCGCCATCACCAACCATCCCTTCTTCATCCCTCTCAATCTCCTTCTTTTGGATTACGCAATAATAATGTCCATGCTCTCTCTCAAAGCCACACGGCCACACTTTTCTTCCCCCTTCCCCCTTCATTTCCAGTCTCCCAATCGCCGCCCGGCCTCCCATCTCTCCTTCCTCAAAATGTCGACCGCCGCCGCCGCTCCTCCGCCGGAAACCATCGAGCACATCGTCCTCTTCAAAGTCAAAGAGACCGCCGAGCCTTCCCGAGTCCAATCCATGCTGAGCTCCCTCAACGCCCTCGTCTCTCTCGACCCGGTCCTCCACCTCTCCGCTGCCCCGATCCACCGCCTCAAGTCCTCCCCAATCCCTTTCACCCACCTCCTCCACTGCCGCTACTCCTCCAAGGACGGCCTCAAGGCCTACGCCGTCCACCCCAGCCACGTCGCCGCCGTCAAGGAGCGCGTCCTCCCCGTCTGCGACGACGTCATGGCCGTCGATTGGGTCGCCCGGGACCTCCTTGGACCCGTCGTTCCGCCGCCCGGGTCGGCGGTTAGGCTGTCGTTTCTGAAGTTGAAGGAGGGTTCGGCGGCGGAAGCCAAGGACGAGATCCTCCGGGTGATTGGAGGGGTGAAGGAGAATTTCGAGGAGATCCAGCAGCTCACCGTCGGGGAGAATTTCTCGCCGGAGAGAGCTAAAGGGTACTCGATTGCGTCCCTGGCTGTGTTCCCTGGGGTTGGTGAGATCGACTCGATGGATGCCAAGGGAGAGCTGGTGAGCTCGGAGAAGGATAAAGTTAGGGAGCATTTGGAGAGCGTTATCGTGCTCGATTTCGTGGTGCCGTCTTCACAGTCGGCTAGTCTCTGATTATCAGTCGTTTCTTTCCTTGAAACCCCATTTCTGGTAGGTTGTGCTTGACTTTCTATGGCTGCTTGGCTTTCCAATTGATAATGCAATCTGGTAAATGTTAGGGGATTGGGGGTTTCCACTTGTTGATCTGGTGATTGATGATGCAAGCATACTTCGGTGATTGATTGTGTTTCGGTGTACTGCTTTCGGCGAATTCATTAGTGTATACTACTCTATGTAGCTGATGATGCTAGTGGAAGCTCTGGAGCATGTAGAACAGTTATCCCTTTGCTTTCTCTGCTAGGTCTGCAATGTAGCTTCGTGCTAATCTAGAGGACTTTTCATTCTCAAGAAAAAGTAGGAGGAAATGAAAACAGAGAGGAGTATGATCTGCTAGAGGGTGATATTGCGTTCGATTTCTCCGTATTGTTTTGGATTTCTGTTGGTAGTCTGTGTTGGAAGATGGTGATGGTATTGTTTTTGGTTCAAATGCACCACACAGGCACACACTAAGCTGATTGCTCCTGTCTTGGATGAAAAGGGACCTCGACACAGACATTAAGGATGGTCTTCTGCACTGATATTGTTTTGAGAGATTTGCTTGCTACTGATTGTATCGAGGGACGAAGGGTTTTCCCTCTGCTCTACGAGTTGCCTCCGTGTCCTTTGATGAATGAAGATCGATCCCTTGGGTGGCTAGTTATGCAGCATTGCGTTTTAGGAACTCTTAGCTACCGCCTTCACCATTCAGGAGCAGGATGATTTAGTTGTCTTAGGAACACTTTAAGTTTGCTTTAACTGTAATTTTAGAACGCAGTTTTGATGGCTTTTGAGATGGTTCTGCTGCTAACCCCATATTAAAAGCTTTACTTGCCTCATGTTCTTCCCCCATTTGTATATCCCTGTTCCTGCAGGCTGCAACACTTGTGAGCTCGCTCTAGTCTAGGCGGCTTCCTCCTTTCTTGCCCTAGCCAATGTTGTCGATCTAGGTCGTATTTGCCTCCTCTGGTTGTGACAGATGCTATAAATAAAATCCCAGCTGCTGTTCATCTTTGGATTTGCTGGATTTTGTATGCTGGTGTTGCGAATTATGTGGACATATATACAAAGTAGTGATCTTTCGTTTAAGTTGTGTCGCCTTGAGCCCTATGACAGACCTAAAAATGATTGGAACACAAATGAAACCATTTTTGCATAGGGGGCAATTTGCTAAACATGCTCACAAATCTGAGCAATTCAGCTTGTATGTGTATCAATTCCACCAACATTTGAAATGATTGGTTGATAACTCCAGAAACCATTAACATGTTGCAGCCTAGAGAAATGAGGTCTCCAAAAGGGTGAACACAAAATGCACACAGTGATTATCCATCTTAGAAACATGAAAGCTTGCATTATCGATGTCGTAAACCATCCTTGTTGGCAGGCATCCCCCAATTGCAAAGTATCCTAGACGGGATTCTGCAATTGCTAACATGAAGGGGATGATGGGTTGGGGCTATGCTGGGAATAATGCAAGCTTTCGTGGATTGAAATTCCGGTTACAAACAATCCTACGGCACACTGTTTTGTCCAGCTGAAACAGAGAGATCAATCGCTACAGAACACACGGATTATTACGCCAGAAAGTGAAATGCACAGGATTCTCTGATGGAGTTGTAAAGGCATCATCAGAACATCGTCTGGCCGAAGTATATCTTGTTACGAGTGCATCAAAACAAACAATTTGGAGGAATGAATTCATAGGCCCCCAACAGTGAAGCTACAGACGGACTCAATGCACCATTATCCACGTTCAATGGCCTAATGTAACAAGACAATCTCGAGGCTCCTGCCCGAAAAAAAGACTGGCAACCTATTACAACTTGTGCTGCTAGAATTTTATATCTCGTCGACTCCTAATTTCTCACTGCTTGCGTAGACTGTGATGCAAATAGTTGAGCCATCACATAAGCGTACTGTACCGCTGTGTGTTGTGGTGTGTAGTTATCTCCCAAACCATACTCTGACAAATTGGGCTCGTTGTGCATAAAGCTCCCAGGCAGTGATCGCTTCAAGACAGCTTCTTGCCATATATCAACAAACTCGCCCAATACTTGACTCGCTTTCTCCATTGAAGATATCGGAAGATACTCCACCTTCAAAGTCAGTGCAATACTCATCAAAACATATTTATGATTCCATCCTTACCACCTTACTATTTTGATAAACAGCAGGATTCAGAAGCATTATCTAATGTAAAATGGTGAAGTGCACCACAGTCACACAGTTGGCAGGACGACCTAGGTATAAAAATGTTAATGTCAAAAAACGTCTCTGAACAAGGTCCTAGCACCATGCCAAATGTGTCCGAAGAAGAAAAGCAGTAGGCAGAATTGGATCATTCCCATCTTTCCTTGCATCATTAACAACAATCAAAAGACTAATATCTTAATATGATCTGCCACTTTCAAATTTTCACTTGAAGCACTAAACAAGCCAATTCTCTATCTTCAAACTAAATAAAGTTAAATACCTTTTCAGCACGAATTGCATTTTCTAAGTCTATGTTCTTCCAACATCGAGAACGGTATAGGGTACCTAGGAAAAGCATGATCTAGTAACCATAAAGACACTGCACCATGGACTTATCAGGCCAGTGGAAACATCAATCATTTATACAATCCTTGATTAGCAATATAGCATAATCCTCCACATAATTTTGCTCAGAGTATAGATCAGATGATAAAAAGAAGCAAGCATGCATATGCACCAACAGAAAACACAGAAATGTTGAACAGAACACTAGTGGGGAGTTCTCCATGCGAGATTTTTCATACCTCCAACACTATCCCTCTCAAGTTTTCAGAGTGGCTGGAGACGACTTTCCCCACTCTCAACTGAAAATCCCCAAGTTGGTACTGGTAACCCTACACAACCACCATATTCAGAGAGCATCAGCACACCAAACCGCAACCGGAGTTCTGCCACAAATGTCAGGGAACATAACTCTAAACTAAGCTTATTCATCTTTCCAACAAACACACCTCAAAGTAAAGCGCGATTCTGGATTTGTAAGACTGCAGCTTCTCCATTATGACCTGAATCGAGGAATCAGCCTCCGTTACAATCCTTGGGCCCCTGAGTATGAAATAGTACTTGTTTGGCTGCTCCGGCAGCGAAATCCCCAGTAGCTCTCTAGGATATTCGCCGGGTTGGGACTGGTCTTGGTTCACCAAATTAACACCCAAAAAATTCAATTACGATTCCATTAAAGTGGAAAAGGGAAGTGCAAGGAAGGAAAATATGATACCTCGCAAATTGGGCTTCAAGAGCGTTAGGGTAGCTTTCCACCTCCCGTCTTTCACGCCATTGATGGCTTCCGCGCACTGTGACACTTCGTTCAAGATTTGACTGTTGACGGTGCTTCCGGGGTTGGGATGCCAGTGCAAAACCCTAGGAAACAGAGAAGTAAATTTCGGGTTTGGGAGGGGAATGCAAACCAAGTAAGAAGGGTGCGGCGCGGTTTGTAGAAGAAGTACGAGTTTCGAAGTTCTAACCATTTGGTCGGCATCGGAGCCGCAGATGCGTAGTGGCGGAGACCGGTGGCCGGTTAGAGTTTAGATCCTGGAGTTGATGTTCGTCCCTTCAGCTAGGCAATGCCCGCGCGAAAGTGAATATTAGCTCTCAGATAATCTCCATTTTTTAGGTCTTTTTAACTTGCATATGCGATTGCATTTATTGTAAGCTTCGAAATATGCAATTGGTAGTCACATCAATGCAATAGGTTTTGCAATTGCAAATACCCATGTCATGTCATCTTGCAATTGAAATTGTGATACCAATGTGTATGCTCTTAGCAACAACAATTAAGAAGCGGGAAATTATAGCTACAACTATGAAAATATAAATTATTAGCCATAACTATTGTTGCGCGTAAACGAATGGCTAACAGAGCAATCAGTAGCTTATCCCCAAGCCAATGGCCAGGCGAAATTGGCGAACAAAGCAATCTTACACGGTCTACACACCCCCATCGATGAGGCGAAAGGCAATTGGGCGGACGAACTACATACAGTGCTGTGGGCGCACCGCACCACGTTCAAGATAACCACGGGTGAAAACCCCTTTTGCGCTCACATACGGCACAGACGTGGTCATCCCCATCGAGACGGCTGCACCCACTTATCGGATCACAATGTACGATGAAGAGAGCAATGATGAAGCGTGCCTGCTGGACTTGGAGTTGGCACACGAACGACGAGAATTGACAACCATCAAGCTAGCCGCAACTAAGGAGCAGGTAGCAAAATACAACAACGCGAAGCTGGTTCCCCACAAGCTGATTCTCGGAGACCAAGTCCTGAGGCAGAACTTCTGTCCCGACCCCAAACACAGAAAGCTCGCATCCACATGGGAAGGTCCATACCTAATTCGCGAGGTCGTCGGCGCCAACACGTTCAACCTTTGCGAATTGGCGGCGCAAAAATTCCAAGTCATGGAACGCACAGAACCTTAGGAAACATTGCCGACCTACCTGATGTATAACTTATCTACTAGCGTGAGTTTGAAATGATAACAATATTTCCTTTGCGCAAGAGATAGATACAAAGTTCGGTGGAACATGAAAAGCGCTAGTCATGAATTACGCGCGAAAAACACGACAATGGTTCGCGACTCTCGCCATCACGCACCGTGCGAAAGATAGATATAAAGTTTACAGAACACGAAAAGCGTTAATCATGAATTACGCGTGAAAAGAAAATTTTGGATTCTCTTTGATAGGGAACAACCAACCCGTCAAAAACAACAAACGTGAACATGATTCCGCGAACACACTTGGCTTAATCTATTATAACATTTTCAGGGCATCCGCGACACCCCCACCCTCCTCACCATCCTCTCCATCCTCTGGCTCGGAGTCTGGCTCTAGTGATCGCTTCTCGCCCAACCATTTCTTGACGTGATTGACTATGGCCATTGCATTCCAGCGCATCCCGGGATTCTCCGGACGCACCTTCTTGCGCACGGCTATGACCGCCTTGGTTATACAACCCACCAAAACACGACTAAAGGCGGCGCTGCTCCTATACTGGCGGACGATGTCCGTCTGCACCTCGTGTACGGTGGTCGCCTTCGCGCCCTCATGCACACGAACGAGGTCCTACTTCTGATGGCGAAATTCGTCTCGCAGGTTCTTCAACACTTCATCATGGTCCGCCTTGAGGCCCTCCTTCTCCGCCTCCAGCCGTTGGATTTCAGCCTCATACCCCTTCTTCACTTCCTCGCGGATGGCCTCCATCTCCTCTGCGCGGGTCTTCTCCTTCGCAGCAGCAACTTCATCGGACAGCTTACTCTACCGAAGACCAAGCCGCTCCATGGGCTCATTCGCCTTCTTCGTCGCATCCTCCGCGCGACTCTTAGCCCCTGCCACCTTGCCTTCGAGCTGAATGCTCTTGTCCACTTCTGCTTTCAACGTAGCGGTGTCATTGGCCCGCTCTTGTTGGGATCGGAATGTTGCCAACAAACCCTAAGCAAAGGAACAAACCGCCACATGCCTTTAACAAAAAACAAAACAAAAAAGAGGAAGAAGAAGAGGGAAGAAGAGAAGCAGAATACAAGTTGAACATCGCGCCCACATGTAAACTGCTACTAACCGCGAAGTGGATCTGCGCAAGGTAGTGCAGCGGGTCGGTGTTCTCCATCCGTAGAGGAATGCTCAAGATGGGGCCCAAAGTGTTCAAAGCACTCTACGCGGCAGTCAAAGATGATGCAACGCCAAAATGCACCCGCACGTCTCGAAAGTGGGTGGAAACAAGCGTTCCGAACCCAGCCATATCTGGCAGCGTCTGTTGCACAGCGTGCCTAGACAAACCACCAGCGACCGCCTTATCTGGCCACAGAGGCTTGCCCACACGAACCTCCTTGTCCGCAACCTGCCGCGGCACCTGCTCCGTAGCGCGAGCAACCTTGCTCGCTCTCTCCGACGCCATAGGCCACTCCGCTTCCTTCCTCTTCTTTTCGGCGTGGGGCTTCACGATGTCATCCACAGACACCATGCTCGCTACGGTCGAGTAGTCAACGCCTGCAACAATAAGTCGTAAGAAGTCCGTTAATACTACAGAATACACAGACAAAAGAGGTAACTAACCATCGTTAAACAACTCCGCCAGACGAGCCGCGCAGACTTCTTTGTGATAGAGATCAATCCTCTCCTCGAGAACCATCTCATACTCATCCTCCAAGCGGTCATAAGCACCCACATTCGGCTCAAACCCCCCTTCACGCTGCCATTCTTCCAAACAGTTGACTCGTCAACACGTTCACTCGCCCACTCCCCGGGAGTAGGATTCACAAAGAAGAATCGCTCAAACTAGTTCTTGTCAAGTTTGGGCGAGCCATAGACATACTTGTCAGGCCTCTTTGTCGCGCCGCTTTAGCGACAAGCAATCGCTCTTACTCTTCTCTGTCGGCGCCTTCATCTTATAGAACTTTCGAAACAAGCCATAAGTCGGCGTCACATCCCGCCGCTTGCATACAAGGCGGAGCATAGACGCGCGCATCATCACGGACGGTGACAGACGAGAGATTGAGCACTTCAGCCTCCGAAGTAGGGCGCACACTAGCGGATCCACCGGGATCTTAAACCCCCATCCGCCAGTACTCGGTATAAATACCGAACCACCCACGGGGCAGTTCCCAATTTGGCTCCGCGTGGACGGTACTGCGTACTTCCAAGAGGGGGGCAACCCCAACCCGCGCACAATCTTCTCGACCTCTCTCCGCCCGTACATAGAGATATGGTTCGGGCCGCGCACCAAATTATCGCTGGGGGCGGGATGTGGATCGAACATCAATCACCGCCCAATCCAACACCGTGTATTGAGCGTTGATGTAGCGTGGTCCCAACTGACTCATGGCCTCCGAAACGCGAGGAATGGCGATGGGAACCATCCCACGAGGCGGGTCGGACTCAGTATTCGAAATCTCCACCGCCCCGCCGGAAGACGACGGAACACCGTCGGCGACGCCTCGACGGATGATCAACACTCCCCTAGATCCCGTGGAGGAGATCACGACCGGCGGCGACGTTGTACGACGGCATCGATGGAACTCCGTCGCTGCCCTCGTCGCCAAAAGCCTGCAATTTCAACGATGGATCAGTAGAAATATGAGAGGAAGGAGAAAGATTACCTTCTTCGCCGAAAACAACCTCGATCTCAGGGATTGAACCAGCCATTGGGAAATTAGAAAAGCTGACAGAGCAGAGATAGAATTGAGGTCGCAAACGAAGGAGAAGAATCTGGGAAACAAAAGACTTACGCAAAACAGAGAGAAGCAGTGGTTGTTGTTCGACTGAAGTCGAAAACCTCTATTTATAAGGAAAGAAAAAGAATGCGAAAGGCGATAACCGCAATGGGAAGCGTAAGCGTCACATCGGGAATTCAAAGTTCAAAAGCAAAAAGTAACCACCCAAATGGGTGGACAGAGTGCTGCCACGTGGATGATGATTAGATGGTGATTGGTCCCTAAAGGCGGCGCACCCACTACGCATGCGCCCCGCCTGGGGGGCAGGGTACACTAGTGGAATGCGAAAAATCAAAAAGTTAAGCCACACTCCGTCAAAGAAAAGCGGACCAGACGCACAAGCACCTAAGGAAGACCTCGGTAAAGGAAGCGCGTAAACACAACCGCGCGCATCGGAAAAGTGGAACAAAGAAGTAGCCTTTACCCGAGCCATCTCGAGCCGCGCAAACTGAATAGGTGGCACTCGTGGAATACCCCCTGCTGGGGGGCAATTGTTGGGGGGAATGGCTCGGCCTCGTCTGCTCCATCAATCGATGTGCCTGTTACGACGCGCCAGTCAGGGCGCTCACAACATCCCACTCGCGGAAGACATGTCAGGCCGCACGAGCGGTAAGACAACACGGATCACCAAGAGGAATGGAAGCGCACCAACGCTATCAGCGCTACCGCAGCGATGACTCCGCTCCATCACCTCCAGCCACCCAAAAGAGAGGTGGCGCGATAGCGCCATTCACCACTCCATCGCCGCTAGTCACCAAGAAGAGCGAAGGCACGATAGCGCCATTCGCGTGCAATACTCAAAAACGACACCGGACGACTGACAAGGCTACTCAGCCCTATTCGTAGACCTCGTCATACCCTAAACCCCTGTCTTTTCCAACTGTCTAGTCATCTCGAAAACCCACCCACCGAGTGGTAGCCTATAAATAGAGCATTTACACCGGTGGGTGAGGGTATCGAATTTTAGCTCTCTCATACTAGAAAGTAGAAACTCTAAAATCATCCTTCTCCTTTTCTCCTTTCTCTCTCTTGGGCCTTAAACCTTGTAAGCTTGTGATAAAGTAAGGAAAGAAGCGGAGGATTTCTTAACTATACTCGCACCCGACTTTCTTCTGTATTTCACTCCTACTCTCAGTTAGACACAAATAATAAACTATCACTCAAATTTAATGATAAAACAATATTGACTTTTAGCATAGATAGTTGGTATCAGTGTATGTCATGTATGTTTTTCTATAAATGTACGATATTATAGTTCTTATGTCATCATCGATCCTTAAAACTTATGAAGAAGGAAATGAGATTTGTTACACCCAAATTATAACAATTAATACTAACTTAAGAATTTTTCATCTTCTGCATATTTAATACTATAATTCGATATGCAATATTCCAACCAACGATATTTAGGTTGGGAAGATTATCCTTTATTTATAAAAAAATTACTTACTAAAATCTATTACCCTTCTTAGAAAATTTGAAATGGAGCAAATCGAACCCTTAAATGTATTATAAATTTGTACAAATAGCACACCTTTATAACCAAACTAGTGAAACCCAAATTTGACCCGGACTACTCTAAAATACTCGACTCTATAGCATCAAGCTACCAACCTGGTCCAGCCTATTCCTATTTCCCCTTAACCTTGTCTGACCGACTTGGGTCAGGTTGGGTATGGTCGGACCTAATCAGTAGGTCGGTTTAAATCAACAAACTTAAATTTGAAATATAAAATTTAAGGTATCCAAATTTATTTTTTTTCTTACCAATTAGAATCTAAACTTTATTCTTTTTACAAACACATTCTAGAAATTTTGGTTACAAAATTATGTTTTAGTACATTTATATCTTTAATTGCATTATAGTACCAAAATTTCTAAAACTTTAGAATGAGTTAAATCTTTTGGGATGGGAAATTTCACATAACTAGTTGTTGTTATGGGTCATAGGGCCAAAGTGACCCAACCCTTATAGAACCAAATCCTTCTCTAAACTGATCATGTACATAAATTAATCTTGTCCGACCATACGAGATTTTATTGAGTAGGTCCATTTAGAAAAAATACGCATGATTAAATATATTTTTTAAATTTTTTAATTATTCTTAATATTATTTTATATTAATTTTTTATAAATTAAAATACATTAGTAGTCGAAACTATCAAAAATATCACTCTGAGTGTACCAAACAATTATTCATAATTTAGTTAGCCATTCATTTTGGAATGGTGTTCGTTGTCAAGAACCGTTTAATATCAATAACTTGACTTATTGAGAGAGGTTTAATAATGAATCTTATATCAAACAATTATTCATGATTTAGTTATTCGTTTGCTCTCGAATTGTGTTTTTTTTATCAATAACAGTAGTATCAATAATTCGAATTGTTGGGAGAGGTTTAATAATGAATCTTATGCCAAACAATTATTCATTATTTGATTATACGCTCGCTTTCGAATTGTGTTCTTTGTCAAGAACCATAATATAAATAACTAGGGTTGTTGGGTGAGGTTGCGATAATATATCTTATATCATATAATAACTCACCACCTTATAAGAAAGTCAACTTATATGGAATTGAAGTTTGCACAAACCTGAATAATATGTGCTTAACAAATGAGATCGCCAAACTTCGAACACAAGATATTTCGATAAACTATTATCTATTGGACACAACTTAATTTTTACTATCAATTAACTATTATACAAAATTTAACCATTTTCCTCCCGACATAAGGCGGCCCCTGGGACCCTCTTTATTGGTCTATCCCTCTGCAACTGCCCTGGATTAGGCTACAAATGAGCCGAGCTCCTCACGAGCGGCTCGACGTTCGACTCGAAAAAACTCGTTTGAAACTCTGCTCGTTTATTAATGAGCCGAGATTGAGCTTAGCCTTCTGCAGCTCGCGGAGCTAGCTCGACTCGGTGGCTTATTGAGATCAACTCGTGAGCTGGCTCGTTTAGAGCTCATGAGATGTCTCAGCTCTCAACATAATAGCTAGAGAGCCAACTCGATTACCGAGTTATGAGCGAATCTTCCTATATGAGTTTGATTTTATTAATTCATAGGATTGTTAAATTATAAATATATATATCTCACCCTATATGAAGTTTAACACGTAGATTATGTGAGAAAATATGTCTTATTTAATTTTCAAAAGTAATTATGTATCATAGATTGCTTCGATACTGTGAAATAACATAATTTTCACTAGTTAAAATTTATTAAATTAATAATTTGATACCATAAAGTATAACATGAGATTAGTTAATATTTACCACTTAACTATTATTATTTTTTTCATCTTGATATTAATCACATGTATCATGTATGACATGTAGAATGAATATATCAAATACGAGTCAAGATTATTAAGCAAGCTCACTCAAAAAACGAGCCGAGCTCAAATTAATGTAAAATTTAGTTCGACTCGGCTCGTTTGCAGCCTACCCAACTTAGATCAATAATCTAAGCATGTGGACATGTGGTTTGTAATTTCAGTTTGTTTGTGGGTAGAAATAAAGAGAAGAAAAGGATCTAGGGAGGGCCGGGCACAAAGGCCCCCGTGTCCTCTGGACTGGACATCACACAGACAGAGGCGCCCGTGTGACAGGAGATGGACGGTTGGATGTGGAGAAGGTGCGTTTCTTTTCTTCTTTTTTGATTTCTTCTTTCTGCTATTGTTGCCAGTGGAGTGGAATCATGAGATTATGGATGGATGGTGAGAGAAAGAGAGGGATGAATAAGCAAGTCAGTCTGTGTTATGACTCTTGACAGAGGAGAGAGGGGCAGCAGGCAACAGTAGTCTATTTCATATTCATCCAGGAAGAGGGCATTCATTCATTCACAGATCCATGTCATGGGTCATAATGATGGATCTATTGGATTTATCTCTTCTGTTTTGTGCTCTGTCTGTCATCTCTGCTTCTGCTGCTACTGGGTCTTCTGACTCTGACTCTGCTGCTGCTGTCTTGATGAATGTAAATTTTGATGATTCAGTGAAGTGCTGTGTAGTTTCAGCCTTCAGGCAAGGAAGGGAGGAAAAAGCAAAGAAATGGCAGCTTTTTTCTCCTCCACCAAGTCAAGTCTGGACTGGAACGTGTCCAGAACAGGAAGAGCAGAGCAGAGCAGGTGGTGGAGTTTGCAGACATAAAGCCACTTCCCTTCCCCCACACGTTCTCTTTCATTTACCAGACTCCCCCCAAATTAGTTTCGAGGAACGTTGTGGTCCTTCAACTAGGTTTTTACGACTTTCCAATCCTACAACTTTTCCCGAGTTAAGTGAATAGTAGTTGACTTGGTCCATGGGGAGTATGAATTCTGAAGAATTTTACAAATCATGAATCAGGGTTAATTCATTGATAGTGAATAAATGATCAGCATCTCATGCAAAGATGAGTAGAAGTTTAATCATCCCAAACCAAAAATCTATCGAGTCTTCTTCGATGGACAAACATACTTCTTCTATATAATAGTACAAAACTCCCAAGTGCGAAAGGTCAAAAGACCTACGTCGCCAATTTGCTATCTTCCCGAGGGACCGATTCTCTGTAGTCGGAATTCACTCCTCCACCTTGAAAAATCAGTACCCAAAAAATCCACACCTCGAGTAAATGTATCATGCCATATTGGTTATCAACGAGAAAAATGTATCATGCCATATTGGATATCGATCGTGGTCGATTCTTGTTTATTACGTTCTCTCAATGGTTCGAAAATGGGATAAACTCATAAAAGGATGAGCAGCACGAAGATAAAGAGGAAAGGCACCATCTGCTCTCTCAATCGGCCAACAGTGCCACGCATTATCGCTCGATCGTCTCTGATTTAGGAGACTTTCGTTTCTACTACCATTACGGTTACGGGTCAGAGAAGAGAAACGATACGCCTTTGAGGCAAGTTGGCTTTGGATGTTTGATGGTTATGTTATGCACTCTAGCTCATATATGTAGGAAATCACTGTCACGCACTCACGCTATATTAAATTTCTCAGTGCAACTGTTTATCCATATGCGAGGTTGACAACATCTCAGAATTTATGCTAATTATAGTTGCATTACTCTCAACTTGTAACTTGACGCGATGATGTCATTTTGAGATTTCCTATGGTAACTTGAAGTAAGTTAATTTAAATTTTTTAATCTGTTATAGTAGCTTTTACAGGTCGCGTTGTCGGTGTCAATTTTTCAATTTTTAGTTTTTTTAATCGTCTGTTGAAAATGATCTTAATCTAATTTAATGGTCTAGATGTATGCAAGTTATCTGACTTGAAATTATACCCAATTTACTATAGGAGATCCATGTCATTTTTATCATGTGCCTTACAACTTATAATTTTCCTTACACATTATGTGACGTCGTATTAGTTTGTAACTGGGCAACGTTGTGTGATACCTGATATTGTATCGAGACAACATGAACCTCAGCAGATAGCACATTGGAGATATTCCGGCAAGAAGATGATGCTATCGTCAATGGTGTTGCTTAACGTTTCACTTGCCATAACCTAATAGTAGTAGCCTGAGGATCTGGTGACTAAGGGGGGGGTGCTTAGTCGCTTTACTAAGCCCCTCCGAGCCTTTAGATCTAGACACACCAATCTGACGGTTAAAAAGTGGAAAAGACTTTTTAATTAATAACATGGATAGTTTGGATATTATGAAAAATTACGAAGTATATTAACCAGACTTACAAACAATACAAACCATACAAACATACAAACAATACAAACTAGAGCAAGAAAGCATACAAACATATTTACAAACAATACAAAACATACGAACTATATAAACAATACAAACTAGACCAACAAATATTACAAAACATACTAACAATACAAAATGCTACTACTTACAATACAAAATAGTAAACTTGTATTACAAATTACAAATCAATTAATACGAAATATATAAATTACAACATAAAAGTATACAAACTAGACAAACAAACATTACAAATTACAATGTATACAAATTAGTCATATAAACATTACAAACATTATAGATAAAAATGACAAACTATTTGATAAACGATACAAAGCGAATTGATACAAAATCACAAAACATACTTACAAACATTATAAAATCGTCCGACAAACATAACAAAACATACGGTGTCGTCAGAAAATCCGCCATCGTCGGGAAATTCTTTCCGCCGTGTCGGAAAATTCGCCTATGACTCTCCCTCGTTCTCGCTCTCGGGACGGCACAAAGCCAAAATGAAATTTATGGGGTGAAAAAAAAAAAAACTCAGCAGGGGGAAATTCCTACCACCGGTGGCGATGGGACGCCGGAACCGACAACCCAGCAACGCATAAAATTTCCTGGCCGCCGGTGGCGCTGCTATGCCGGAAACCCAGCAGCGAAAATTCTCACGAGAGGGAAGTGATTTTTAAATTATTAATAATTAAAAATTAAATAACCATGCAATTACTACATTGTCCTTCATTAAATGAGATCAATCTGAACCATAAGATTTAATGAGGTTGAATGACTGTGATTAGGGGTGTCCGTTCGGGTCGGGTTCGGTTACCCGAACCGAAACCCGACAAAACTCAAAACCTTGAAACCGAAATCACTAGAAACCGAACCCAGTAAGGCCATTCGGTTTCCAGTTACCGAAATCCAAAAATTTCTTTTCGGGTTCGTTTAAAGCAAAATCGAAACCTGAGCGTCTAAGAACACGAGCTGAGTGCTATTTTTTGGAGATTTTCAGCCGGAACCCAAAACCGAACCCGAAACCGAAAACCCCAGAATCCAAAACAAACCCAAACCTAAAAAACCAAAAATATATCTAATCGAGTCGGTTTCGGGTAAACCCAAAAACTCAAACCCAAATGGACACCCCTAACTGTGATAGATTTTAGTCACGTGATCTTGGCCCGTAGTTTTTTAACCCTGGTGACTGGTGAGGGCCATAAAACAGAAGACCTGAAACCACGTACATGGTTTTTATGGCCGGCACCAATATGTGTACTGTAAACAAGGACGGACGGACGGAGCCATCAGTGCAAGGAAGTAAGGAACGAAGCGTGCGTCTGGGATCTAACATAGCCAATTATTATTATTATTATTATTATTATTATTATTATTATTATTATTATAACGCAAGTAATTCAAAGTCGGGGTCACTGTTGCATACGACAAAAGGGTTACTTCCTTTCTTACCATAACAAAGTTTAAGCTACTGTTCATAAGTGTTATATAATCTCATGTGGGCGTGTGTACCTTGCCCTGACTGTTACCAAAGCATCTAAATCCTATTCCATTGTTTTTTTATATGTATCTCTTTTTTGTACCATACCTAGTGTGTACATTGCACTGGCCACTATCTAAATCCTGTTCCATTGTTTTTTTTTTATATGTATCCGTAGGTAAGTTATATCTTACATATAATTTTATTAGACCATGCATTACAGAAGATTTTGTAACACCGTATTATAATATTTACATAAATTTAAAATACATTACCTAAATTTTCGGAGTGATAGTTATTTCTTATGTATTAATTAAACGATAGTTCTACATAAGTCTTCCATTGTGAATAAGACACATAATTTTTCTTATTTGAAATATTTTGTAAATTATTTTATTTAAAATCAATATTAAACGAGTGAATGACAAATTGACAATATAATTATTTTCTTACCGCCGCGAAGCACTGGTTAAAAAACTAGTTTATATCATAATAATAACGTGACTCGCTATATATGCTAGAGCACTCCTACTATGCTATATAGCATTGGTGCTTTAATGTACAACTCAAAGTTGTACCATAACATTAAATGTATAAGTTTAGGTTGTACCATAAAGCAATTTATACCATTATGTTATGGTACAACTTTACAACTTGAAATTGTACCATTACATAAAAGTACAAGTTCAAGTTGTACCATAAAAGAATTTGTACAAAAAGTATAGGTACAATATGAAGTTGTACCATAACGTAAATGTACAATTTTAAGTTGTACCATAAAGGCAAAAACCTATAGCACCAATACTATATAGCATTGTAAAATTTCTATATATGCTAACCCTTCTTTTATTGTTCAAACATTTACACATAAGAAGTTGCATTTTTATGCCTAAATTTGTTAACCATAGATTCGCACGCAGTTGACTCATAGTGTTAGGACTTGGTAGTTGGTACCAAGACAACAACAAAATCATGGTGTTAAGAAAAATGGAGTAAGAAAAAAAGGGGGGAAATTCGGATGATAAACATTAGGTATGCTTTAACAAACAATTCTGCGTTTATTATTAACAAAAGTTCTATTATTGTTAATTAAAATATTTAACATGTTATCGATTCGCATTATATAAATGTTATTTTCTAAAATTTAATTTTGTTATTAACTATAATTCTATTATTTTAAATTAAAATATTTAATATTTCATCAACTCGCATTGGTAACAACCAATTCTACGATAAGTTATTTCTCCTACGTAATAGGAACAATTTTGAATTATTTCTTTATTATTAACAAAATTCATTTATCGTCAATTGATTTTTTTTATAATGGTGATTGCATTAAGGAGAAAGAAAAAGGAAACAAAGGTTCAGAAGAGCTGAACCTAAGGCCATACAAGGAAAAGAAAGAAAAATATACATGGACAAAGAGCTGAAATCATGGTTGTCACGCCGGCCGGCGTACCACTGGTTGAATCTGGTTCAACTTGTACCGGTCATAAAACTGGTATGACACCACTGGTATGACCGGCATGATCGATATACGAATCTCTAAGTAAAATGATCTTATATTAGTGAATTTATTTGATAAAAAGTGATTTATTATTTATTTTATGTGTTAAAAAGTTAAATGTTGATGTTATTTGTTGGATTCAAGTACAAATATTTAGGTATTGACGTTAAATGTCGTGTTTAAATATGAGTATTTGTAATATTAACCGGCATGAACCGACACAAACCGGTATGTACCACCGGTCGAACCATTCCACTTGTTAAACCGGCACACTGGTACAAATTGGTTTGACAACCTTGACTGAAATATTTAACATGTCATTCCGGGTAAAACCATTGTGAGGCTACTGTAATTCGGCACGAAAAAAAAAAAAACAAACAAAAGTGCAGTTCCACTCAAACTAGATCATGGATCTGGTGCTTTGAATTCGGTTTTGATAGGTTCGTTTTTATTTTGATCGGTCAATCCCTAAATTGTATAGCCCCTCAATAATCATATAAAATGAAGATGCCACCACATTCACTCAACGACTACACTACTACGAGATATCACAAAACCTTATAAGTACGTTCTCGCATATATCTCGTGAACATTTTGGCAAAATTGACAACAAATATTAAAAAAAAAATTTGGAGGCATTTAGGCAAAGCTTAAACGGCCACAAACCAAGGTTGTCGACCCACTTTGACCCTGACCCGATGAGAAAAATGGGTCGCACGCATCCGCCGGGTCGACTGCTACAAGGTATCGGGTTGGAGGTCAAATTTTGTCATTTTTTTCTTTGGTTTGCAAAATGCGCCTATTTTCCGATTTTTCTTTTCGCCTTACTCAATCTTTGAAATCTTTAGTTGAACATTTGAATATTGATGTTATATAAGTGTGTGTGAATTTTCACTATATGTTGGATCTAAGTACGACATGTTACTTTGGTGTGATGTTATATGTTATTACTTATATGTTAGATGAGATTTGATATAATTTATCAGGATAAGTGCAATATAATGACTCTTTTATTCGACAAAAAAAAATAATGACTCTTTTCATATTTCCGGACTAAAACGGGCTAAAACGAGTGACCCATTAACTCTTGACCCACTAGCTCGACCGGGTCTGGGTCAATCCACGGTTGACAACCCCCATCAAGTGAGTCCCTCGATCTCCTTCCCCAAAGACAAAGTTACAGACAGCCCATCATTACCACCATTTACTTCATACATTTTTACCACAACACACCTCTCACCACCACCTTTCTTGTTAGTCGCAATAAACAAACAAACCAACATAGTACAGATTTGGTCTGTCATTCAATCCATCTATCCATGTTAATTCTTTGAATGTGCTCCCAACTGAAACATCGACAAAAACACTAGTGAAAGACAAACAGACACATAGGATCCTCTTTCAATCCCCACATCACATAATTTTGTGGACAAATTTCATTGATTCTTAAAGATACCGCCAACAGCTACATCCCCCCAAGAGTTCCAAGATTAGTAATATCGTCACTGATCGATATCTAGAATTTAGATTTAGAGTCGGGTCTTCGTTATCAAGTCAAACTTAAATTTTAAAATGATGAAGATATAGGTCGTTCATCTTACCACTTTGGTGATATACATACATACATACACTAGAACATCGGACTACATGTTAGATGTTACAATTCTTTCCCTCGTGAACTAAATGTAGCTCCATTCGACTCTAGATATTTGTTGTCTAAGATCAGACCTAACAAGTAACAACCCAAAATACTGTTGTTCCACCACAACCACCAGCTGAAAGTTTGAAACCCAAGTACAAGGGAAAAGTTGAGAAAAGAAAGCTCCAACAATCTGCAAGAAAATGTAAAAGACAAAAGGAAAAGTTTATCAGTTCCATGCACAAAACAAGAATAAAAGTAAACTGTAATAACCAGTAGTTTCCATGGCAGTAAAATTAGTTTACCCATGAGGATTAGTGTTAATTAATTAATGATGCTGATGGGTTCTGGAGTTGAAGATTGGGAAGTCGAGCGAAGATGAACTGGGGATGGAGATGGAGAGCCTGGTGCTGCTGTCCAAATCAAGCCACGACGGCGGCTGATCCTTATTGTTCTTCGGCGGCCCTTCATCGAAGAATCGATGGACCGTCGTCTTTTGGGTCTTGCCGTCGACAAGGTAGCTGTTATTACTCTGCTTGGTGGAATAACTCTCCTCGCTCAGGTTGCTCTGAAGCTGGAGATACGAGTAATCGCTCTGTAACCCGGACGAGCTCCTCTGTTTCGAAGACGATGATGAAGAGGAAGATGATGACGAGGAGTTGATGCCCAGTGGGCTCAGCCGCCATGGGTCGTCCGAAGAACTTCTCATCGACCCAGATGTTTCTGAGAAGAATGCGCGCTCGTGGTCAGCGTCTTCTTTCAACCCGTAAATGCTCCGGCTCCTAGTTCAAAGCGAGAATCAGGTTAATAAATAGCAGGGGATGGGGTGAACTGCACTAGGTGTTTGATGTAACGCCTGAACGAACCTGAAATCCGCTGCGGTGAGGGAACAGTACCCAGCAGAGTCGAGAAGCAAGCTGGTGGAGTCAGGTGGTTGGTGCCGAGCAGCGACAGATGGATGAGACGAAGAAAGGAGGTGATTGTGGCTGTAAGTGGAAGGAGGATGTGGGTAATTGGATTGCTGAAGATGATGATCATGGTGGTGGTCATCAGCAGCCGTGGAAGAAGATAACAATGAAAGGGAGGTGTGAGTGTAAGGAGAGGAATGGTTGGCGAGTTTTGGCGATGGTGATGATGATGAGTTGTTGTTGTTGTTGGTGGTGGTGATTGATAGGGTCGTAGTAGCAACTTCCACAGGCTTTCTTGAACGGTTTTTACCTCTGTGCATGTGTCTCTCGCAGTACTTGGAATCTGGGTAAGCCTCTTTGGAACACCTCCATTTCTTGCCGTCGGTTCTTCTGCATCTCCCTGGCTCCGGGTCTATTTTCCTCCCAAAACCCAGCTGGAAGCAGCTCCATCCAACTGCGCAGTGTGTTCAACATGTTATACTATACATTAAAAAGTTGTCTTTTCTCTTGAAGCATGCAAGAAAGTGGAGAATTGATAGAAGGGGATGTTATGTAATGGGGGGCTGACCGTGGGGAGATTGGGAAGGGAAGAGCTTGGAGGAGAGAAGTGGGGAGTCGAAGCTGCTGCAGGGAGAAGAAGAAGAGCTTCTTTTGACGGTGAAGAGGAGATCAGGTGGGATAGGGAGTCCTGACACCAAGTATTTGAAGACTAATGCTTGATGCTCCAGCTCTTGCCATTGAGTTGCAGTGAAGGGGAACCTGCTGCTTCTTCCACTCATCATGTCACGCGCAGCAAAACAGCAAGAACACCAGAGAAGAAGAAGAAGAATATTTGGGGGGAGCAATTGACACTACTCAATGCAGAAAATGGAAACGGGTTTTGGTGTTTGATTTGAGATTCCCTTTTTTATTGATAGTAATAACTTAAAAGGCTGAAAGAAGGAGAAGAGTAGGAGAAGGAGAGGGGAAATGGAGAAGAGCAAGGTAGAGCAGGGACCATTTGGGTTTTGCAGAATCTTTTGTGTGATTGAAGGAAGGGAGGAAGGTAAAAGGGAAAAAGGAAAAAGGAAGAAGGAAAGCAGACTAGCAGAAGGAAATAGAAAGATTAGAAACTAATGCTGCTGCTGCTGCTGCTGTTGATTGATAATGGTGGAGGTGGTGCAGCTGCCTGCCTGCCTGCCTGGCATAATATAATCGTGCAGAGCAGAGAGAGGGTGTGGGGACTGTGGCCATATTATGACTGCCTGGCCTGCTGCAGGCTGCTGGGTTGGTTAGCAGAGCAGGAGCAAGCTGCCTGTTTTTGGCAGCTCTTTGTCTCTGACAACTCTGCGAAAACCCATAAAACTTGAAAACTCAAACGAGAGAGTGCATTAAGTAAAGACACTGTGAAAAGAGAAAGAGGAAGAAAGGAAAGTTGGTGGGTGTGTAGGGTTTGGAGTTGTGTGTGTGGGTGTCTGAACTTAAAGCCAATGCAATGCAGTGCCTGCCTGGCCCTCTCTATCTATCCCTCTCTACAGCCACCTGCACACCTGCACCACCTGACACAGTCTCTCTCTCTCTCCCCCTTTCTTTCTCTCAGAAGATTGTACGGTTCAGAGCTTTTACTGCTGCCCTCTGAACTCTTTAACTTTCTTTTTTGCTGTTCCTTTGCCTCATTCACTTGCTACCTTCCCCACTTAGCTATTTTGACCCAACTTTACTCACTCCCTCTGCTGGCATTAGGACATTTTCCCACGAAAATGTTACAATTGTGAATTGCCTTGTTAAAACATCAAGTTAACTGATAGGCATGATTTTATAATAGTTGTATGTATAATAATCTATATCTAATTAAACTTTTTTGAAACATATATATATATATATATATATCTAATGGGTAAATAACAAGGTTGGTCACTCAGACTACTAAAAAGTTCATGTTTGATCACTAAAAATATTCAATTCCATTCGTGGTCTCTAAGTTTAGTAAAACATGTAATGTTTGGTCACTCTACGTCCAACTCCGTAACTTTGTCTGAATAAGTAATGTTGATTTTTTAAAATTAGATTTAAATAAGTAATGCTGATTTGTTTTCTTATAATCTTAAAATCACAATCCAAATATCATTGGTTGAAATAGTGCATATAAAGTTGCAATATTGAATATAACGAAGCGATATAAACAACTGAATTGGTAATGATTTTTATAGGTTGGAAATTGACGTGGGCCATACAGACTCCTCCTAAATTGATGTTTTTCATATGGCAGTACGTTAGAGTAGTCCTACCGACAATGGTAGTGCTAAGATCTCGTGGGGTTAATTGCCTAAGGCGATGCACTGTTTGCTGGGGGGAACCGAGAGAGTATAGAACATTTGTTCATTCATTGCCCCCTTGCCAACATGTTATGGTACTTTGTAGGATTAAGTGACATACTGGTTTTGGCCCCAATAATGAATTTTAGTGGGTGGTAGCGTCAAGTTATGCTATCATAGCACTCCCAAACCCATATTCTCCAAGTATGTTCCCAATACTGGTTTGCCTCTTGTGGAGAATACGTAAATCAAGAAATAAAGTGGTATTTGATAATACCCAACCTCGTGTTTGTTCGCTTGCCAGCCAGTTCTCCTCTCAAGTCCGTGAAGTGCTCTCCTCCTTGTCGTCTGCCCCATCTGTTCATCCTCATGTGCCTGCCTCATCAAGCCAGCACTAGGAATGCCCTCCTCAAGATTATCTAAAGGTCATTTTTTATGTTGTTGTCCAAGCCTCTAATTGCTCGCCTGACATTGTGGTTCGTGGCTCGGATGGTCATGTGTTGCTTGCCTCGGGTTTTCAGCATTAGGGGATCTCGAACACATACCTTGCATAGCTCCTTGCAGCTCGGGATGCGATCTTGCTTGCATCATCTAGAAGTTTGCCTCGTGTCATCATTGTTGGCAATGCAGTAGTAGTAATTCGCCAACTTAGCCTTGGAGCAGTGGAGGATTCCGTTGGTGGCCCTCTCCTTCGAGATTGTATGCTTATTCTTGGGTCTTTGTCTCATTTTATAGATTTTAGGAAGGTTCCAGGGACTTCCAACTAGATTGCCCATAGAGTGGCACATAAAGCCTTATTGCTGTCTCGGTTAGAGTTAGGTTTTTTTGACTTTCTAAGTTGATTTGTTAGTGGAGTGGGGAGGAAGTGTGGGTAGTGCTTGTTCTAACTATCTTTTTTATTTGGACTAAAAAAAATACAAACCTATGCATTGTGAAGTAAATGCAATTAGTATTTTATGTATTGCATGGAACACAATAATTGATTATTTAATCTCTTTTTCCTTGAAATCCTTTAATAAGTATCATAGGTTGAAAAAATTCAAGTCATGCTCTATGTTGGGTGTCCTACTCAAATGGATTGTTCAATTTCATCATTATGAAACCCTCTTCTATTGTTTCACGCGCTATTCAAACGAATTATAATAGAAACCTAAGGTCTTTGTCGATTTTGTGTAATCGATTGATTTATTTGTTTAATAAATTTTAGTAAGTCGCTCCAAAATGATGATTCTTTCGATCATATTTTCCCGTTAGCCATGTCTTTAAAAAAGATTTGGCCTCGTAAGCTTCTTCAAGTGTACTGCAATATTAAGCGTCCAATGAGAGATTTTAATTTCCATCAACATCTTTATCTATATGTATTGTATCCAGATTGCCGATTAATTCTCAATGAAGGCTTCTTTTTCCGACGCCCGATGGATGACATTAAAAGAATACAATTCCATAACAACGATTTTTTTAGATGATTTCATTTGTTTAATTTTTTTTATCTTATAGAGTAATTAACCATATGTATAATTTAGAGTTACTTGATTTAATATGAACTAACTACATCAAAAGGAAAATCATGACGTAGGATCGGAGTTTTCATGGATGCATTGATGTGATTATATGCCGTATAAGCACAATGACTACCACAATATAAGTTTATTTATATTTGTCGAAGGACTAAAATTGTTCTTCAATTAAATTTTGAGTATGTTGGTTGACAAACATTTTTTTTATGGTATGGCATAAGGATGGAGAATGTTATTTTCCTGTTGTTATTGCATTATTTATGGAACTAACATTTTGTTACAGTTCAAAGATACAGTAAACGCGGAGGGAAGAAAGGAAAGAGCACATTTTGCTGCAATTGTTCGTTAGTGGGTGAACTGTAGAAATCATACCGTCCTCTTGTTCTAAATAGTTATATTGTGGCAGCAGAAGATATTGATAACTCAGGGTCGTACCATTTCGCCAGTTTCTTGCTTCAGAAATGCGAATTCATTAGATTCCCCCAAAATGTACAGATACCTTAAAACTGCTCTTGTACAGGGACTGCACCTAACCATCCAACTTACACCAAAGGTTTCAACTCCCAGCACCCAAAAGCAAAACAGAACTATTCCAGTAAGCCACAGCATTAAAATCTGATGCCGCGAATTCAGGCAGCTCAGACCGGTTACGAACAATTCTCTTAAGCAGCAGCTGAGAGCTGGTATGCATTCACCATAACAAAAAGATAACATACATTATCATTACAGATATCCCTTCTTTAGCATTCCTTCTATAATCCTATCAAAACCATACCATCCCATTTAAGCTTTACCCCTATCCTACCAAATTTTAACCTCCCCTGGCCATTTCCTGTTGGCTGCTACCAACTTGGCGGGAGTTCCCTACAAAATGGGCCAGCGAACTGGAGAAACATGCCACATAATCTCTGACTTGGTTTTATACTAATCCTTCTGAAAGAAAGAAAGAGCGAGATCCGTATGTACAGAGAAGAGCTGTGTGTCCACAAAAAGCTGTGTTGTAGACCCAAAAAAACATTGTTAGCAACACATTAAGCAAGTTTGGGGTATTGATGTGCTGGGAAATCAAAAGTTGTAGACAGTTTCTGAGTACGAACCTTCATAAATGGCCGATCACGGCTTGGAAATGAGTCTATAAAACTCTCCTTTAAGAGCAAGGAAACCTAGAAGCAAAAAAATGAAAGGAAAAACAAACATGTCAAGTGAAGAATCAATTTACCCCATTCTAACATTAGCCACTTCATTCATGGAGTTGTGGCTGTGACCACGCAACAGTGGATTACAAATAAAGTCAACTCCAAAGATGCGCCAAGCTGTAAATTCCTTTGACTCCAAATACGTAGACAGGATACTGCTATTGCTGTACTAATGTTTGGATACTTGGACAGCAGATTTACTGTAGTTCCATTACATTTGACAAGAGAATTTGAACCCTGCTTCATTATCACTTGAGGATAAGTCTAAATATAAGTAGTAACCTAGGAACCATTTTCTTTCCAGGAATACATAAAATCACACCAATGGTGTGATAACAGCTGGAAAAATGAGCAGACAAACCAAGCGACATTTTATGGATAGAAAGGTGCACCTTGTCATTGTTCGATTGAACATTCGTAATCGTGTGCGACCTAAGGTTGGAACAAAGATTGTCCAAGTAAGATCTAAGTACTCGCAGGAAGCCCTTGGCAGCTTCAACCTGTAAAGGCACAGAGCAGAAACACGAATATTTACACAAGTCGTAGGTGAAATTTGTGGAGTGAGTGTAAAGAAACACATAGACAAACCTCAACATAATCAAAGGCATAATCAGCCAAATATAAGCTACCCATGACTGATACATGCAATATCTACTTATCATGGAAGGTAGGGAGGGGGAAAGGCTTGCTGGAGAGTACAGAATGATTCATTAAACTGCGTGGTACTGAGAAGAAAGTACGAAAGAATAGTAAACAGAGCACACCGCAGAAAGATTCTAAATACGAAGATGAGTTTAAATAATACTCTGCCTGATCTTTCAGGCTCGGCTTATATCATTGCAGCTCAGATTAAGAGATATGGACAAACAAAAAACACAGCTTACCCGCTATGAATACGAATATCAAATGATATTTAGAAACACAGTCTACAAACACTAAATCAAAGTGTAATATATATCCAACTAAAAATCTACTGTTTAGTTACAGGGCCTTAAAACAGGACATGTGTAGTCAAGACACACTTCTTGCAATAATCATGGTTATCCTGGTTTTTAAATGAAATGTTAACTAGAACATTAGTCCCCTATAGTAGATGCAACAAACCTGGAAGCATAGTCATATCCAATTGTGCTTGCAAAACAGTATTTGGGACTGGGAACTAATCCTTTCTAGGCCAGAAGAGAAGGTTTAGAGAATTTAGGGAGGATTGTCCTCAACATTTCTCTTCAACTTGTGACATTATGGGAGTGAAGGTGAGAAAAATGTGCTTAATATAGTTTTAAAGATTAGAATTTTGATGGAAGTTGACAATGGACTGCATTGTTAGTGAGATAGTTGTTAGCTTTCAATGATTCAAATAATCCATGAATAGTTTTCCTAAAAATTTAGATTGTGCAAAATTTGGATTAAGAAAGTGCGTCTGTTTCAGTTTTGTACATTTACATAACTGCAAATAAACACACCCCATGAGGATTACCCTAAGCTCATTCACGAGGAACAAGGGACCCTGTGACTACGTAGACATTTACCAGCAAATTAACCAAGCAGGAATAACACAAGGCAGGGCAGCAAAAAGAAGATTAGAGAGAAAACAATCTGAATTTGTTAAACGGTAGGCCACACTTCACCTGCTCATCTGTGCACTCGTACACTGGTCTTCTCCTTGCCGAAAAGCTTAGTCCCACGAGCTTTGCATGATATGCACTCAAGGATGAAAACAACTCTCTGTGTTTCGGTAGTTGAGGTATTCCAGGTGATTTAACCTACAGCACGATTTCCATATTTAGGGAAATAGATCCAGGATAAAATCCAGAAAGTTTGTGCAGCCAAAAGGCAGAAAAAAGAAATGCAACCTGGTTCCTGTTGATATCAACCACAACAGTATTAGTTAACTTCGACTGTACTTCAATGGTTTTGTTCTTTACACCAACCTGCATAAAACATCTAAATCATTATGAAACCAAGTTACAAAGACGAAATCAGACGGTAACAGGAGAAGTGATCTTAAAGGGTAAATGATGCGCAAGATGAGACTGAAAGCTGAACACTTACTATGTAAGGAACAGGAGCATCCAAGAAGTCTAGCATGTCGTCTGGCAAAATCTGCAGGGCGGAAGTGACAATTAGATCCCCCAACAAACCTCAAGAAGACAAGAAAGGTCTATTGCACAACCTTCAGAATCCAGAAAGATATCTTACCGGCATCAGTAGGCTTTGCCATTGGTAAGGACGAATCAGCGGAATAATTGACAAAACTGAAGCAGACAGAATTCCCTGTATAACAAAGCACTTAAACAAATTAAACTACAAAGTTGTATTCTAGCTAGGTTTATTAATAAAATCCAATAATACTTGCGAAAACCATGATTTAGGAGGTCACAGTCCAGCAATTAACCAATAACAGGTCCTATTTAACAGTACGCAAATTTCATGTCCATGTATACGCATTTTACAAGGATAACTGAAAATCCAAGCATCTGTGTAAATGTTTATATTTGACAAGGCTATACTCTACAAAGATGACATGTTTAATAAACTAGAACCCAAAAGTTCATTAACAACTCCAAAATCAAAATCAAAGATCAGAAGCAAGTGAAGTTGACATGTTACCTACCAAATTGGAACAAACTAACACGATCTGCTTCTCCAGTAGTGCTCCTGCAAATAATGTTAAAACCTGCACGGATAGATAATTATGACATAGTATTGTTGTGAGCTAGAGAGGAAGTCAAACTTAGCATGCTATCAAGCACCGCTGACAAATAGAGGAAAAGATCCAATCAGTGGATGGAACTGAACCAGAATTAAACCAGACGAAACTAATGGCTACTGAACAAACGAGACATCATTCTAGATTTCATATTGTGGACAAAATTAACATAGATTTTGAGCAAACAAAATTACATGTTCAAGTCGTAAGGCTCCACATATGCATGCTATCGCCCATGTTGACAATGCTGTTGCTTCCTCCTCTACCAAGAGTGCACCGTAGGCCTAATGGGGGGAAAACAGCAAGATAATGATACAACTGACGGCTTACAATAACTTAAACCTCATAACTGGAAGATATTACTCGTAGCATAAAGCATCTAAATGAATAATGATAAGTAATCAAGCCCTTTAAGTATACACTTTACCTCAGCAAATTCAAGGCTGGAACTGCAAGATCTCAAATCAATAGTTGAGCCAGCAATACGCAGAATTGTCTCATCTGGTCTATGAAATTCCAAGGGATGAAGATGCTCCAACGGATGAAATTTAATTGCTGAACCCCTGTAGGGATTATGCAGATGGTAATACTCACAAAGTATCTGTAATGAGCCATGGTTGTTCTCCTGTAAAATGAGAAGAAAAATTTGGTGTTGAGAAAAGACACAAAAACTAACAGCCGTAACCAACAATAGAAAGGGCAACACCATAACCCAGAAGGGTGGACATGCATGGATGACTGTTGATTGTGATTCCTGCTATGAAGGGCAGTCACAAACCTTGGCCCATTCAAGAATGTGAAGGTGATCAGATGACTCTTCCTGGCCAGAAAAAGAAGCCTCTTCGGTTTCAGTATCGTCAATATCACTCCGAAAATTCCGGTCTTCACTGGGAGAACCCTGGAAGCTGCAAAGCAGGCATTTTCAGTCAGCTTAACAGACAAGGGGAAAGCAGTGTTGTTCCGTTACGTCTATATGATATCATGAATAAAGAGCTTATTTAAAAACTATCTCACTAGGATGCTGCTGCTAATTAACAAACTTTTAGCAGTAGAGCACTTGGCTACCCATCATTCTAAGTTTCTCACATTCAAGTAAGGTAAGCAGGATATAATAGGTGGTACACGTTCTGTTTATGATCTGGCATGCATGCCACAGATCTAAACAACTGTGGGGCGGACAGAGACTGACAACAAGCGAATGCCATTTCCAGAATGGTTATTCCTTCAACACAGTAAACTAATCAGTTTATAAATTGGAGACACAGCATCCATTGTAGTAAGAAACTTGACTAGCATCACAATCTTCATTTTCTTCCTCATTCTGAACTCAGTTCTCTTACTACTCATCTCCGTTCTCACTTCGTGGCATTTCCAGCTCACTGCTAGAGTAAAAGAACCCCAAAGAGAACCAAATCACATGACAAACATTTCATGTACCATTATTCTCTCGAGTATCACCAGGTGATGAACAACCTTCAGTATATGCATTCATAACCAGAAATTTAAAAATCGAAAAACATTATGGATGCATTTGCCACATTTGAGGGTGAAACAATCACAACGATTTGCGAACAACAATTCCCATTTTAAATAGATAAATTAAATGAGACATTTGTACATGTTTCACCTTGGAGAAGATTCGGAGCTTTCGCACGGGTATAAGCGGAGGAGAGGAAGCGATAAGTTCTTCAAGCGTCTTTCTGGTTGCTTGATTGATGAATAATCTGTATCATTATTATTATGGCATTCATGGTTTATGGTACCAGATTCACATTTGGGAGCCCCCTCTGTTTCTGAATCAACTGCATCATCATTATCCCTCACACTGTTGTTCAATAAAGGATTACACTCAAAACCATGATGCTCCAAGTGGCTTTCACCATCTATCAGACCTTCTCCACTTGCAGCCTCTGAAGCTGGCTCCAATATCTCTGCTGGTCTCTCCAGCTGACCCTCTTCTTCTCTATGATTATATGATATATCGTTTGAATTGTTTCCCACACTATCTTCCTTCAGGCCCCCAGAACAATCAGGGTCTAGAAAACTAATACCTTTAGTAAGTCTTTCCAACCGTTCTTCAGTGAAAATGCTGCAAGAGAATTAAATGCAAGTCAAAATGGGTGATGGGGGGGGGGGGGGGGGGGGGGGGGGGGGGGGGAACCGAACATGAAAACACCTTTGGACTCGCCTCCCCCTCTGAATTGTAGTGTATAGTTTATGATATCGTCAGCATGGAAGCGAAAAAAGACAAAGGGGGCAACATGTAAAACACAAACAAACCTATTCAATACTCCAAAATGCAATTCAAAGAAAGGAAGGCGTGTAAGAATGCAATAACATCTCCGTGTTGTAAGTACGTAACGGCTCAAAGTTGGGATTGAAGGTTGTTTATCTGAAACCACAGAAAGCAATCCTGATGGTTTTTGAATGATTTCTTCAACCAGCACACAGCAACCATAGAGTGTTGAATCATCAGCAACCTAGGCAATACAAATAGAAACTTCAGATGACCAAACAAAAAAAGACGAAGCATTTCAGGAAAGTCATTGCCGGATTGAAATTTCACTAGTCCAACAAAGAAGTTGATAGATGTCAACAAAAATGGTAAAATTAGGTCATGTTAACATTATGGTGGGAAAGCAAATAATACAAATATATACAACCAAGTAGACCCAGAAAAGAATTATGCAAGCCTTCGAGGGAAGACGTCAAAACTAGATCTATCACCCACATCTGGCGAGAAATTGGTATTACCTCCAACTAAGAAACAGAGGGATTGGAAGGGAAGTGCTGACAGACATAAACTACAATTAAAAAGTACGAAAAAATTGCAAACATGCCAATTGATTGATAATCACAGTGCAACTAACATGACAATAACATTTGAAGTATATACCTGTAACCGGAAAACAAATGACAAGTCACTCTTCTTGAAGTGCTCCTGCCAAACATTATGAGCAGCACCATGATCAGCCTTACAAATCTGAAACTAGACCCAATAACTGAAAGATGTGCTGCTTTGCTAAAACTGGTCCTATAATAATTCAAGTCACAAAATGCATTTATTTCCCCAGACAAAATGAGATGGTACAATTATACAGCCTATTTCCCGGCACCAGTAGGCAATAGCACTAATTGATTTAAATATCACATATATTTCATTCCTACAGGAAATCCTATGTCTTGCTATTCCTGTTTTAGACTTGAAGCTATTAGCTAATCATTTCAAGGACCGAAACTTAGTCAAACGCAGCAAACTCAATCAACAGGAATCTAGAAACAGACATAGGCAATTACTGAATCAACAACATTGGCTGAATGCCAAATAAGGAATGCATGTGCAACAGTGCAAGCATATAATCAATGCAAAAATTCACATGACATCACAGCAATTGTTACCTGCGCAAGAAAAATCTCATTCAACTCGCTCATGGACGCAGTTTTCTCAACAGCATTAACCTGAAAGCACAAGCAACGACATTATGGATATGCCATCTTTTAGAAGATAGTATATTTAGACTAATTCGAAGACGGGATCAGGGACAAGTCTGAGTTAGAAGTAAAATTGACATACTTAGCAGATATTTCATTGAAAAGTTCAAGATGACCATGAGAAACTAATATGTATCAGTTAGAAAAAACACCTAAAATTAAACAACAAAAGCCAAGGTCAAATAAACTTCACAATTAGTTGTATGGATGGACATTCGTATTGATATCATACAGACATTGGGTAGGGTCATTTTGATTTGGTGAAAGGAGAAGGAGATAAGCAATTGTAATAGTGATCAGCACAAAAGCAAATAATGGTGATAGAAGCAAAAAGAAAAGAGAAAACTAGAGCATATCCAACCTCCACACCAGCAGGAAAGCAAAATGACAGAAGATCCTTGTATTTAAGAGGTAGTGCCTTGTCGGGTGGGTAAACAAATAAAACCTGAAAGTTAAATCAAATGTTTAATACAAACTCTAAGAAGTTATGCAATTCCACAAAAAAAAAATCACAGTGTTGCTTCAACAGAAGTTTTCACCTGAGGCTCAAGAAGAGGTTCTACTCGAGACTGATTTTGAGAACCAAGAGTGGTTTGCAATCTACCTGAACCTTCAAACCTTCGTGAACAGAATTGCCTTTGAAGTGACTGAACATCACTGTTTGGAGAAAGTCCGACAACGACCATGCTCTCAAAAAGCTTGGATGGCTCCTTCAAGGCTCTGTGATCCTGCATGCTTAAGTAGTTGTAATAAAAAACGACTAAGAAGTTGTTGCACAATAACTAAGAAAGTGAAGTATAATCATTAAAATATGTGCAAAAGACACAGAGATCCAAAGATCACAGTAGTGCTTGATTGAACAAGTACAAAATCATCCTAAATGTACACAAAGATAATTGAAAAATATCCAATAAGAAAGAGGTTGAACAAAAATTCAAGTTCGAAGAGCCAAATTGAAAACAGCTAATACTTTTTCTGTCTGAAATCAATTGACAATACGTGAGAAGGTCAATCTGAACTAAAATAACAAACCAAGTTTTGCAACTGGAAACTAGCCCATTGCCGCTTTTGGCTAGTTAGAACCTCAGGATTATAATTTCCAATCCTCATCTCACGGCGAGGAGGAGAGATGCCTTTGAGCACCTTTGACACTTGGCGCTGGAATTTCTGAAGTGGGCTACCAACATTTTCCTCTTTAGATGAAAAAATCACAGAGGGCCGTGGAGAACGAACAGTGGCAGCTGCAGCAGCAACAGCTTTGGCAACATCTTCTGTTGTCTGTGCAAGGATCGAAGAACTCCAGCTGGGGGTTTCAGTCTCTTCCTTCTCAGACAAGGCAACAGGACTCTCTGCCATTTTTGCCTGAATCCACAACAGAACAGGGTAGCATGAACCCAGGACGGAAGCTCACCCAAGCACTTGACCGGGAAAAGAAAAGTAAGCCAAATTTAGCTTTCAAGAAAGAGAGAACGTTGACATAAGATGCAGCTGCTATAAGGAAAACACCAAAGGAACTAACTTTTGCTACCCCTTGTGCTATAAACTTATAAAAAACCCCTCTCTGTTCACCTACCCACTACCAAAGCACTTGTGCAACTCTACTACAAGCCTACTAACGAGGGAAACAAGCAGAGCTCTGAAAACATTAGGATCAAGAGTTACAGCTTAGCTTTACTTAAATCAGCCCTCAAACTGCGTCAGACCGACCTTAAGCTCCGAGAGAGCAAGTAATTGAAGCTTAAAAGTATTTTTGTTTCGGTTACTTTTACTTCCCACCAAACTCCTTCGTAAGTTGCACAAAACCGATGACAATTCAAGGCAAACAACCAAACTTAACGTCAGAAGAAGTAGAGATCAAAACACAATTCAAATATTGCAGAACAAGAGCTAGTAGGATATTTGCCAGACGGCGATCAAGCCTGATCGAAGAAGCTTAGGGAACAAACTGAGTGAATCCCAATAACAAACGTCAAAAAGGGGAGAAACCATTTCATCAAAGAGGGCAAACTCACCTATGGCACGCAGGGAGTTACACCAATTACAAGAAGGGTCTCGAGGAGCAGGAATTAGAGAAAGAATGGAGGAGTAGAGAAGGAACTTTTTTCAGGAGGCCGCCATAAGAGACGACGAGGGGCTTTGGGTGCTTTTTACGGCCTTGGTCGCTTTCCCCCTATCCAGTCGCGACGCGAGACAGCGAGAGATAGGGTGGGGGACTGAAAAAAAGGATGGAAAAGGAGGCGCCGGACGCTAAGGAAATTGCATTAATTATTCATTTTCCCGTTTTCATTTCTTCAACGAAGAAGAAGAAGAAGAAGGATATGTCAGACAAAAGGGATATAAATGAGAAAGGAAGACGTTATTAGTTAGTGTCGATGATGTAATCAATTTAGGGTTTGGGGACAAGGAAGAAGAAGACGACCGGAAGCGGCGAGGAAGAGAAAGCCGGAGGAGACAGGCTTCTTGCTAATGGGAAAAGGACTTTTCTCTTCCTCGGCTGGTCAAAGCTAGCAACAAAATTTATTATTAATTAATAAAAAAATAAGGCAAAATGCATTTTTATGATAAAAATTGGGCTAGGATCATGTGACTAAGGGGTCCCCTAGTCACATGGCTAAGTGAATCTCAGCCACTCAATCTTATTAAATCTAAGGGCTCCTATTAGTCCAATTTAATGAAGGATAATGAAGTAATTTCATGTTTATTTTTAATTATAAAAGAAATAAAAAAAAACTGCTTCGTCCCTTCCTTTGTGTCGCCTCCCCGCGCCGCCTCCGGAGATTTTCCGCAGAAAGAATGGGCGCCATTATTCCCATTCCCCGGAGAGAGAGAGAGAATTTTTCTGGTCAGAAATTTTTTTTCCGACGACAATTTTCCGGCGACAGTGCTTTGTGATATTTGTTGACATATTTTGTAATGTTTGTACGCTTTGTTATTTTGTAATGTTTGTAAACTTTGTTATTTTTGTCAACCATGTTTGTAATGTTTTTTATGTCTATAAAATAACCTGGTTGACTTTTGGATGAAACTTCTCTATATAGGGATGAAGCCTCCAAAGTCAACCCGGGTGTTTTTTCAGTTCGTATGGATTGTCGGTCTAGTTTGTCATTTTTGTCCACCATGTTCGTACTGTTTTGTATGTCTAAAAAACACCCGGGTTGACTTTGAGAAGGAGCCCCTCTATATAGGGATGAAATCTCCAAAGTCAACCCGTTTGTTTTTTCTTTTTGTATGGTTTGTATTGTTTGTCGGTCTAGTTTGTATTGTTTGTACAGTTCATACGTTTGTAATGTTGTGAATCTGTTTGTATGTTTTGTCGCTCTAGTTTGTATTGTTCGTATGTTTGTATGGTTTGTACTGATTGTAAATCTGGTTTGTATACTTCGTAATTTTTCATAATACCCAAACTACCCCTGTCATTAATTAAATAGCTCTTCCCACTTTTTAACCATTGGATTGAAATGTCCAGATCTAATGGCTAGGAGGGGCTTAGTCAAGTGACTAAGGACCCCCCTTAGTCATGGGATCCGCTCTCATAAAAATTTGAGTTTGTAACAATAATAACCATTTTTTGAGAAAAAAATATTTTAATAGGATGGACCTAATAAATGGTTTTTTCAAATATAGTATTTATGATAAATGCGCTAAAATACCATCATGCCCTCTTTTTCATCCTTGGTTGCCTTAGTATGGACAAATCGATTATGCTCTATGAAGGAATAAAAACCAACATGTATCAATACTTGTTCAAGGCTCCGGTCAGGGGTGGGCAACCGGTTCGGTAAACGCAAAACGAAACCAAACTAAACCGAACTGAAATCGAATTATTGTTATTCGGTTCGGAATTCGGAAGGAAAATATGGATAGTTTGGAAATTAGGGTTCTCTCAACCGAACCGAATTTTTGAATTTCCGACCGAAATACTATAATTGCAAGCTCCAAATGGTGGATTTTTATGTTTGTAGTTGTTTTAAGACTTAAATATTTGAAATATTTTATGACTTATGTGTTGAAAAGTTTGATTTTATCATTGATGATTCATATAATTACATATTTATTGTTTATATTAGGGGTAAAAAATAATTAAAAAGTGAGAAGATACAAGTAACTTCACAAATTCGGTTTTGTGTGAAAAACCGAACCGAATTATAATTCGGTTCGAATTCGGTTTGAGGTTTGGGAGAATTCGGGGACCCGATATTCATAATTTCGGTTCGATCAAAACCGAGCCGACCCCCCACCCCTAGCTCCAGTAGATCAAGCACATGAATTACGACTAAGAACAATTGCCACAACATTTCTATCATGCTATTGTAATTACATTTCTCAAGTTCAAGTTGACAACACTATTGCCACTACATCTCTTAAGCCACTTTTGTAATTACAACTGAGAACAATTAATTACAACAACTATTCTAATGTGCAGCTTGACATCACACTTCATACATTAACATTACATCACTATTTGTCAGTTCCTGAAGATGGACACTTCCATGTCCAGTTACAGGAGCTCGATGTACATGCTACCTCAATTTATTGATTCCATTTTGCCTAGAAGAAATCGCTGGTAGCTGGAAGCACACTGAGAATTGATGAAAATGGAAAAGCACTTAAAAACTGGAGCAGAACCAATAATAAGGTGTCGTTTGGATGAGGATTTATAACAGATCAATTTGACTCGATTGTTTCGTTTTGAGACAATCTGGTCAAATTGATCCGTTTGGCAGCACAATTTTAGATGAAGCAATTCTACCTGAGGAATTCTAAACTGACTCATTTTGAAGTAGTTACAATTGTCTAGGTTGGGGGCATGCAATTCGAATTGGCTCGTTTTAAGTTACACTAGTGACTCTACCACTTTCGCGGTCAATCACGCTCAATTTAAGTGCTAAGTGAATGTTGCCGATGTCTAGTGTAACTTTCGCAAAGAGATAGACAGCTTCCAGAAGTTCTTGAACGAATTAAAATATGAATAAAAATTTTAAAGAATAAAAAGTAGTCAAAAGGGATCTTGTTAGACTTCTTTTATATTAAATAACATTACTTTCTAATTTATTTATTTTTAAAATAATCGAAATGAAAGAGAAATGAATGCAAAACAGTAAAAATTTAAGAACGAACCTCTCTCTAACCTCTCTCGCTGCTACTCGTTTTCTCGCGATTGCGATGGCGGCCTCGTCGTCGAAATCTGCTCCGACGACGGGCAAGGTTTCGGGGGGATGTTCCTGGGCGCAGTTATTTGACATTGCTCCGAAGAATCGGATGAAATATCGTCCTCCAGAGCGTGTTAACGATGGGTTTCGCATCCCTCGGGAGGTAAAGCAAAAGGGGGAAGAGCGATGGCGGGATTGCTTGATCGGGCAGTTCGTTGGAGCTCAACCTAAGGTGGCGCAGTTGCAGACATGGGCTACCTCAATTTGGGGGAGAGATGGGACTGTCCGGGTGTCCAGATTTGGGCCTCGATTGTTCGTTTTCCAGTTTCCTTCTGCTTCAACCAGTAGGTGGGTTTTCAGATCAGGACCATGGCACTATCAAGGAATCAGCTCTACCTCAGGAAGTGGACGCCGGGGATACAGCCAGTTGCTCCTCAGGTAGAATCTCTTCCTATCTGGGTTAATATTTGGGGTATCCCTTTGGAGTACCACTCGGTGGAAGGGTTGGAATGGGTTGCTAGCACGGTTGGTCCTCCTCTCTGGATGGATAAAACCACAAGGGTGGGTGGGCAGCTGGGCTATGCCAAAGTATGTGTTGATCTTGCTGCGGACTGTGGCTTTCCCTCCACGATCCGTCTCTATCCTGATGAGGATCCGAGTTTTGCTGTGGAAGTAGAATATCTGAATCTACCTAGGGTCTGCCCTGTCTGTGCCGTTTATGGTCATGATTGCAATGCCCTGGCTCGAAGTAATAAGAAGTGGGTAGTCAAGCAGAAAGTTCAATCTAATGTTGAGGCAGGATCAGGGGAAGCTCTTGTTGATTCTGGGGAGTCGTCTGTGGTTGGGTCTGAGCTGCAAGCTGAAGTAGGAACTGAAGGGAGTCATATAGTTCAATCTGTGGTTAGTGCAGTACTGAGTGACAAAACATAGTTAACAGAACCTGTGGCTACCAGTGTGGGTGTTCAGGATGTCTCAACTATCCCTCCTCCAAATGGGAATGCAAATGCTAGTTTTGTGGATGTGGTCCTGGGATCATCAGTTGATACTGGGAGTCCTAGTGCCCTACTGCAACAGCCTGTTGTAGCTAGTTCACCTGTTTCAGGGAAGCTAGTTACTCAGACTCCAGTATTTGTAAAAGAGACAAATCCTTGGATAACTGTTGGCTCTAAGAAGAAGCCTACTACTCCTAGAGTGATTGAGCCTGTTCTTCCTCGAAAAGGGGGGAGGATTGGAAAGAAGAAATGAAGATACTCACATGGAATATCCGGGGGTTTAATGACCCGGATAAGAATAAGGTTGTTCAACAGCTGATTAATACACATAGTATAGATATTATAGTTATACTAGAGCCTAGAGTTAGAAGTAATAAAGCTGATGAGCTGATAAATAGACGTTTCTCTGGTTGGAAGTCTAAAGTTTCTAATAATGCTGCTTGTCTGGGGAAGTTGTGGCTTCTGTGGAAGGCAGACATTAAACTTCAGGTTTTACATACAACAGATCAACTTATCCATGTTATGGTTGGGTCAGGGGTTCCATTCTTTTTCTCTGTCATTTATGCATCAAATGAGGAGGCTGACAGAAGATGTCTCTATTCTGATTTGGTTAAATATCAAGTGGATTCACTTCCATGGGCAGTTTTAGGGGACTTCAACGCAATTGGGGATCCAAGTGAAGCTTCAAATCATCCTCAAGTATCTAGTAGTATGACTGAATTCAAGAAGTGGCAGTATGACTGTGAGGTAGAAGAACACAAGGCCTCAGGACCATGGTTTACATGGATCAATAAACAGCAGGGTAATCCAATAGCTAGGAGACTTGATAGAGTTTTTATAAACACCAAATGGCTGACTGAATTACCTTTGAGTACAGTGGATCTCCTTGATCCCTCAGTCTCAGATCATTGCCCCATTCTGCTTGACTCTGATTGTTCAGTGAAATCATTGCCAAAAATGTTTAAGTTTTTTAAATTCTGGATTCAGCACCCTCAGTTCATGGACTTGGTTAAACAGGCTTGGAGTTCACAAGTAGCTGGTTCTCCTCTGGTTCGAGTATGTCAGAAGCTGAAGATCTTGAAGGGATTACTAAAGAAACTTAATAGAGAGGTGTATTCTGATTTGTCTGCAAGAGTGAAGCTGAAAGCTGTTGAGTTACTTCTGGCTCAGGCAGAAGCTCTTAGCCACCCCTCACCTATCACATTTGAGGCTGAGAATAGACTTTCTAAGGAAGCTAAAGAATTGAGAGAAGCTGAGGAGTCCTTTTTTAGACAAAAATGTAGAGAAGTTTGGTTGAAGGAGGGAGATTCAAATACTCCTTATTTTTTCAGGTCAGTCAAAATCAGAGAGAAGAGAAATATGATTAGGTCTCTTATTGATGAGGTTGGTCATAGGGTTACTGATTTGGAGGGTATGACTAAGATAGCAGAAGATTTCTACATCAAATTATTGGGAGAGGAGGATAAAGAGGTGGTTGCACCTGAGGTAGATCAGATTGGAAGTTTACTGTTAAAGAAGCTAATCCCTGCTCAGGGGGTTGACTTATGCAAACCAGTCACTGCAGAGGAAGTCAGAGCCACAATGTTTGGCTTTAATGGGGACAAAGCCCTTGGCCTTGATGGATATCCAACTTGCTTCTTCCAGACAGCTTGGAGTATTGTGGGAGCTGAGGTAACAAGTGCTATCTTATACTGCTTTCAAGTGTCTAATATCCCAGTAAGTGTTAACTCCACACTTTTAGCCCTTATACCTAAAGTTCATAGCCCAGAAGAAATGAAATTTTTTAGACCAATAGCTTGCTGCAACATTCTTTATAAGTGCATAGCAAAGATACTTGCAACTAGATTAAGTGCAGTTATGCCTTGTGTCATTAGTGAATCCCAAACTGCTTTTGTTAAGGGTCGAATCATTGGGGAAAACATTTTGTTGGCTCATGAACTAGTTCAGAAGTATGGTAGGAAAAACATCTCCTCAAGATCCTTAGTTAAAGTTGACTTAATGAAAGCCTTTGACTCTGTAAATTGAGCTTTTCTGTTTAGAGTGCTTGAAGCCATGGGTTTTCCAAACAAATTCCTTGACTGGTTGAGAATGTGTGTTACTACACCAAAGTTCAGTATTGGTTTTAATGGTGGATCAGTAGGTTTCTTCCCAGCCAAGAAAGGTTTGAGGCAGGGGGACCCCCTTTCTCCCTATCTCTTTGCTGTGGCCATGGAGGTTTTTTCTTGCTTAATGCATAAGGCTGTTACTCAAAATGCTATGTCCTTCCACCCTATGTGCAAAAGACTGCAGATTACCCATTTAATGTTTGCATATGATCTCTTACTATTTTCTGATGGATCAAATTTTGGAATTCAGTGTATCCAAAAGGTATTGAATGAGTTTAGATACATGTCTGGATTGAAATCAAACCCTTCCAAATGTGAACTTTACTGTGGAGGTATTGATGATCAATGGCAGGAGCTGATGTCTCAGCATTCAGGGTATAAGCTGGGGTCACTTCCAGTTCGATACTTAGGTCTCCCTTTGCTCCCTGGTAAACTTTCCATCAAGGCTTGTAAGCCTCTTATAGACAAAGTTATGATTAGAATCAGTAGTTGGAAGTCAAAAACACTCTCTTATGCTGGCAAACTTCAACTGGTGATGTCTGTGCTGTATAGCCTTGCTCATTTCTGGATGTCAATTTTTATTTTGCCTAAGGCTATCATTAAGGCTATTGAGAAAATGTGCAGTGATTTTTTATGGGGAGTAGGAGAGGGTGCCAGGAGAAAAGTTGTGGTGGCTTGGTCTCGAATTACTTATCCTAAACATGAAGGGGGGCTTGGTCTTAAAGATATGTATACTTGGAACCTTGCTTGTGTGGTTAGACATATCTGGACTGTTCTGCTTATACAAGGGTCATTATGGGTTGCCTGGCTATGGGAATATCGTATAAAAGGAGGCAATTTCTGGACTCTTACCTCTAAAGCCGGGTCTTGGTTATGGCAGAAAGTATTGAAAATCAGAGATAAACTCAGGGGGTGGCTCTCTGTTGCTGCTGATGGGGTTTATTGGAAGGGTGCTCTTATGAAAAAATTTTGCATAAGGAAGATTTGGGAGGAGCTTCGACCAAAGAAGGGTAAAGTAGCTTGGGGGAAACTGGTTTGGAAAGGAACTAGCATCCCAAAGAACCAATTCCTGGTTTGGCTAGTTATCTCTGATTGTATCACCACTGGAGAGAAGGTTCAAAGGTGGGGAGGTTCTGGTGACTTTGGATGTGCTTTCTGCTCCTGTAGCCTGGAAACAAGGTCTCATCTTTTTGCTGCTTGCTCTATGTTTAAACAGATGTATGCAGCTTTGTTTTGTAATTTTGCAGATCGATTCCCTGGGGATCAATGGGAAGGTGAGCTTCAGTGGGCCTTAAATGCTTTCAAAGGTTCCACTGTCTTAGCACAAACTGGAAAGCTGATTTGGCATGCTCTAATTGCATCAATATGGAGAGAAAGATGCTTGATAAAGTTTGCAGGGAAGAAAACTGATTTCCATGCTTTGATTCAGAGGGTTAAAGGAGATATAAGGGTGGTTGGAGATCCTGTAGTTGTGTGTTTGTACTTTTGAGCAGTTGATTGAGTGATTAATCTGGTTTGTTAGTGTACAGGGGCCTGTTGTTCCCTTTGCTCAGCTGGCAGAGATGTTGCCAGCATTGTACATGGCTATTTGATGAAATGAAATCCCAACCGCTTCATCAAAAAAGAAATGAAAGAGAAATTATATTTTCTGAAATAAAAATAAAATATTATAAAGATAATCTTGTATTTTCAAAAATCGAACTTTTAGAATTGTTTGGCCCTGACCTCGTTCTTTTTTCTAAGGGCTGGTCTTTAAGCGTCAAAAGAAGATTACCATGGCTACGAAAAACACTTTTAAAAGCCGGGCCAAACATAGGCATAGTCAGAAGCCAGTTAGGCCCAAATCAAAGTAAGAAGCCCAACTCATCTTCAACCTACTTTTTCTAATCAAGCTGGGCCGGACTTGAGCGCATCGGTCCAAATCGAAATCGGCTACAAAAAATATTCCAAATAAAAAAGCTATATAATAAGTTAAAATTATTTTCCGAACCCCATGTTCTCCTCCAGTTCCTATAAATACGACGAATAAGGGGCCAAAGAAAAGGTGGCTTGAGAACTCCGAGATTCCAGCTCATACAAAGGAAAGAGACACCATAGCCAGCCAGCCTGACCACCTCCTTCCTTCCTCCTCCCCACAGACCAAGAGACCTGACCCCCCTGACAGCCCAGAAAACCATAAACATCCAAACCAACCAAAAACTCCATTAAAAAGGCACACCACCACTCCCTCCCCTGAGAAACCAGACGAATTCCCCATTTCCTCCTCCATTATTTGGCGTTGAAAGCAAGCCAACAACCGACCGACGCCATGAGTCTCTTCGGCCTCGGCAGCAGGTACCAGCTTCCTTCGTTTTTCCCTTTCCCTTTTTCTCTCCCGATTTTGGGTTGGTTTTTGTTTGATTCCCCGTTTGCGTTTTGTCAATCTGTGATCCTTGTTTGATTGTATCGATTTGTCTTTTTTGCGTAAGTGGGTCTTCTTATTCACGGGAAGAATCTGTGATCCGTTTATTCTCCTATGAGAGAGATACAGTGTCGAATTATCTGTTCATGGCGGATCGGCCGGCCATATTGCTTTTACTCGCGTTTCCTCATCAAGGTTGGGTCTTGATCGGAATCGGGACAGGGGTTTTGATTGACTTGGACAGAAATCTGGACTTTTGGAGAAATGGTCGTAAGATCATGGAATTGGAATTTGTGGGCCTCTGGTGTCAGAAGATTTCCCTGTCATTATACCCATTTCATAATCCCCCCCTTTTAAGAGTGGATCCTGGCTTTTTTCAGCTTTTACTTTGTTGATTCGATTTCTCCCTTTCCCCCTTGGCCTTCATTCGTTTTCTGTTTCTCTGGCTGCCATTTCAATGGGGAAAAAAAGATGAAGCCTTGAAAAGTTGATGGCAGAATCCGTGTTGTGTGGTTCTGATTTTATGTTATGCCAATCCGGCAAGAGCCCCTTGAGGTCCATGTCTCTCTCAGTGATGGGTAGTTTGTTTTGGATAGTGGAAACATATGCTTCCTTGCCTTACCTTGAACTTAATGCTGACTGCCAGTCGTTGCTCAAGTTTTTGTTTGAGAAATAAACTAGTCCCTTAACCTAATTATTATGAGTTACTTATTCCAAAAGCCATTGGGCATTAAGCTGTATCTAATCTAATCCTGGAGATAAGGCTAAAATTTCATCTCCCGAGAGGAATGATCTAGTTGCAACAATCAATTGATCACTTGAGTTGAAAGCCTGTCATTCATTTGGTTTGGACTTAGAATCTGATTTCCTGTCGTTATTTCTATTGCATAATGTCTCTCATTCTACTCTCAGTTCAGCCTCTGACTTGGTTATCTTCTTGAATTGTAATTGTTTTTGGTTTTGAAGAAACCAGAAGACGTTCCGGCCTAAGAAGAATGCTCCATCTGGTAGCAAGGTTCGTGGAGGAGGAGGAGACTGTTCTTTTGGGAGGTATTTTGGTTTCCAGGCAGTTGGTACATTGTTTGATGTAATTCCTTTTCAATTTATGCAGGGTGCTCAACTTCAAGCACACATTGATGCTACCTTGGGTAGTGGCAACTTGAGGGAAGCTGTAAGGCTGCCTCCTGGAGAAGATATCAATGAGTGGCTAGCCGTCAACAGTGAGTGCACTGTCTGGCTGCCTTTATTGTCCGATAATCTGTTTGGATATTCTTTTTGTTGTCTTTTCAATACTTGAAACTACATATCTTACAGTGTGTAGGATTTGTGAATTTAGGCTTTCTCTTCTGCCAGTATTTTGACTTCATTCACAAGTTTTTTTCACTCAACCAGACTTGTTTGTCAGTGTTCAAATTCCAATCTGATATGCTCTTTAATCTGTGTGAATTATCTGAATGAAAGCTGATGATGATCATTTTGATCTCTTGCTGTCCCTGTCCTTGTGCTTCAGCTGTGGATTTCTTCAATCAAGTGAACATTTTGTACGGCACTTTGTCTGAATTCTGTACACCATCCAACTGTCCAACCATGACAGCCGGCCCAAAGTATCACTCTTTGATCCCACTTTGTGAACTCCGTTTGTTGTTTAATTGTAGCATATCTCAGTTGTATTATGATTGGACATTATCCATAGTTAATTTGTTTTGCTTTCTCTATATTTTTCTGTCGTACTGATCTTTCTAATTTCTGTTACAGATATGAGTATAGATGGGCTGATGGGGTTACCATAAAGAAGCCGATTGAGGTATCTGCTCCAAAGTATGTTGAATATCTGATGGATTGGATTGAGTCTCAATTAGATGACGAGAGGATTTTCCCTCAAAGACTGGGTTAGTAAATAATTTTCCTTTACAAGTAAACTGATGTGCTATGTAAACAGAAGGTTGTGGCTGGCTCTTACATTATCCGGTGCTCTGTGCTGTCTCCAGGGGCACCATTCCCTCCAAATTTCCAAGATGTCGTGAAGACAATCTTTAAGAGATTATTCCGTGTCTATGCCCACATATACCATTCACATTTTCAGAAGATTGTGAGTTTGAAGGAAGAAGCACATCTAAACACTTGCTTTAAACATTTTGTTCTCTTTACATGGGTAAGAGTTTCTCCCACACTGAAGTCATCTGCAACTATGTACAGAATTCATCACGAGTTCATCCGTTTTTTTAACTTGGTTGGTTCACCAATGTTTGGCAGGAATTCCGATTGATCGACAAGGGCGAACTAGCGCCTCTTCATGACCTCGTCGAGTCCATCCTCTGACCATAGATGCCATTGGTGGAACTGGAAACTCATTTGTACCGCTTTTTCTTTTGCTTCCCCATTTTAACTTACCAGCATGATTTACAGTTGGTTTGCTTTAAAACCATTTCCATAGGAGTGATGATCTTGAAACAGAATAAGAAGTGTTGTGAATCTTGTTTGCCCTTCCTAATTGTTTTGCTGAACGCACAGTTTTTCCTTTTTTTTTCATACTGTATGTATGTGTACCCATCTGTCGAATTGTTGATAATATGGTTGTGAGATTCCAGAAATGCTGTATGATATATTTTAGCTGGCACTTATCATGTACAGGTGTGTTGGATAGTTGCTTAGAATTTTATTCGCTCTTTAGCCAATCACTGAGATGTGGTTACGGAACTTTTACCTCATCAAAACCCATCGAAGTTTTGCAGCATATCTAATGGCTTCAATGGTGCACCTAGTCTAATATCAGAGTATACAATGAGCATGTAGAGTTCATTTAGGTAGCTTTAGATATAGGGATTTCAATATGATCCCAAAAGAGAATATAATATTTGTGTAAATGATAATATAGTATATAATTTACAGAAATACATATGCGTCCAATAAGAAAAATGTATTCTTATAATAGATAGTAGTATGAAATCAAGCCTTTAAGAATATGATATTTATGTTATGAGAATATAATATTCTTGAAGGCTTGATGATATTTATGTAGGGGTGGGAATCGGTCGGTAAACGGTACACCGTTTACCGAATTTACCGGTTTCGGTATACCGAGGGTGGCCAAACTGTTTACCGTTTACCGATACCGGTTTGTAATCGGTTTACCGATTACCGAATTACTGGTAAACGGTTACAAACCGGTTTACCGAATTACCGCAAAGGACGACGTGGGGCGGTTTTCCGGGTCGCCGTCGGCGGGGATGATTGGGTTTCTGCCTTACCTCCAAGTCGCCGAGGGAAGGGAGAGGGTTTCAGGGCCAAGTCGCCATCGGCGGGGAAGCAGGAAGGTGGAGGCGGGGAAGCGGGGCCGTCGGCGGGTTTTAGTGCTGGTCACGCGTCGCGGCGTCGGCACTTGGCGAGGGAAGGGAGACTGGGAGGGTGAGGGATTCAGGGCCGTCGGTGGCGGCGGCAGAAGAAGCAGCGTTCGGCGAAGAGGAGAAGAGGAGAGGTGGCTGCGGCGCTGCGCGGGGCTGCTCTCTCTGAACTGGCGATTTCGAAACGAAGAAGGAAGGGTGGCGGCTGCTCTCTCTGCTGGGTGGGTATTTTTTAGGGTTGAAATCTTTTCCAAATAAAACGACGTCGTTTTGGGTGGTATCGGTATTACCGATTTACCGATACCGGTTTCGGTATACCGACCCACCCAATTCGCTGCTCGGCCGCCGATACCTCCGGTAAACGGTAAACAGTTTACCGCCGGTAAACGGTTCGGTAAAATGGTAAACCGTTTACCGGCGTACCGAATCCCACCCCTATATTTATGGTATGAGAATATGATATTTTTGAAGGTTTGATTTCATACTACTATCTATTATAAGAATTTTTTTTTTGAACGAATATATATTCCTGTAAATTATATACTATATTATCATTACACAAATATCATATTCTTCACTGGAAAGACGTTTTCCTACTCGAGTAGGTGGGAGGACCATATCCGATCCGCTCCAACTCTTTGCGCCTATGTGAGACATTCAAATCTCCATAACCGAAGTCATGTCACTAAGCATCTGATCTGGTCCTAGGATCTCGAAAATTTGAGTTAGAGTCACGATCTTGAACCTTCTGACCTTGCATCACGACAGCCTTAATTGACTATTTATCCAAGACCTACACTCCTATTGTAGATATCACTAAGAGGGGAGTTTGGTATCGGTATTTGAGATATATCGAATATCGTACCTAATTTCTTTTTATTTTCATAACACCAAAAAGCAAACACTAGTATTAGTCGTCTCTCAGCCTCCAATTCGTCAAGATAAAGATTACCAATGACAAGAATTTGAGATGTCACATCTCCTCCATTCTCCTTATCCATATTCTAGCTCTAGGCAAACTCAAGACTATTTTGCTTAGTCTCTTTGCCCTAAATTAAACAATCAAATCTAATTTATATATTTAATTATTAATTACAAAGGTAACTAATTTGGTACTCGATAATAACGATTGGGATACTGCAATACCGACTGGGATACCAAAATATTTAGGGACTGGGATACCGAAATTATTTAGGGATTGAGATTGATTTTAGGGTGTAATTTGGTATTCGAGATTTTGGTATTTGATATTGGGATACCGATACCGTACCGATTTCCACCCCTACCTATAACATTATCTTAGAAGCTTTTATACATAGATCATCAGAGTTCAGTTTTGTAACAGTGAGAACCTACATTATCATTTATCAATACAAAACTCCGGCTAAATTGCAAGTTTGGTCATTAGAATTACTATAAAATTTCGCGTTTGCCACTAAGATTAATTTATTCCATTCATGGTCACTTAAATTAGTTATGCAATCCAAGTTTGGTCACTCTCCGTTAGTCTCTATTAACTTTATCTGACGTGGCAGTCAACCCTAAAAGTTGACCATTAAATAAGTGACGTAGCAATTAAATCAGCACTAATTTGCACCTTAAAACAACGTCATAGACTCATAGTGTCTCTTTTCTACCTTTTCATATGCTACTAGCGCTTTTTTTGAATCTTGATATTTAGGCTATATGCGTACGTTATAAACGATTGTGGAGCAAAATCTCAACGTTGATATTGAGTTCCAAAAGGGTGTAATGTATCGTCATCCTTCATTACTAGTTTGTACACATGCTTCTAGAGCTACTTGATTGGCTACGACACGATTACTAGTGGTACATTTCCCCAAGGCTACAAAACACAGGAGATATCAATGAGCTATTAAGGAACAACCCATCTTATCTGACAAAACATGATTGGAGTGAATATCCAGAGCAAAGACATGAAATTTTGGGAAGAAGTCATGATATATCTAAAAAAAACAAAATCACGTTTGGCTAAACCTAAAGCGTTCATTATTTTGATCAGAAAAAATTGAGAGGGTAGAATAGCAATATGGGAAAAACATCCCAATAATTCAATGTGTTTTTGTGGCTCCAACAAATCTGGAGCTGTTTTTCAATGCAAAACAAAACCCTGTTCAGCCCAACTGAGCTGACATTTTACAGCTTTCCTATCCCTCGGCTACATACATTAGTATCTGTATCGTCGGTGCTGTGTTTTGTACACAAAAAAAAAAAGAAGTTTATGACGACGGTCCCTCCATTCCTTCACCTACGCAATTTCCTTTTTTTCTGTTGTTGATTGTTTCCAGCTACTCTCCTATCAAGTTTGAAACCGAGCCATTCGTCAAGCTTGACGAGATGTACAAGCGCCAGTTTCCGACTTAATACTGGTGGAAGAATGGCAGGCAGCAGCACCATTTCTCTCCTCAAACTCCTGTTTCCCGGGTGGGCGCAACCTTGTGTGCTGGAGAATGAAACAAGGGAGAGAGCTTCCTCTCTCTCGCTCTGTCCTCTGCTTTACTTCCGCCTTCCCTTCTCACAAATGCACCCTGGAAGAGGATTTGCATAGAAGCTCTCTTCCAGCTTCGGAAACTCTCCCACCTCCCGATAATATGGCCCTCCATTTCGCTCCCGGTGGAGCTTCTTCACTTTGGAACTGAACCTCTTCCACGACAGTGTCCCCTCGTCTAGCTGATCCACGAGTTTCACAAAGTTCATCCTGCAACAAACAATAGAAGCAAACATGACAAACAGCTACGCGCACAAAAGCGTTTGTCTAACTGGAAAAGTAGAACATTTTGGGATGTCGAATTTTTCAGAGAGGGAACTATTACTTGTCGGGGTTGATGGTCTTCTTGAAGTTCTCGAATCGTCGGTGGCCCTGAACTGCCTTGGCCATATTTCCATCATAAGTGTACACAAACACATCACTCTGAAGTGCAACGACATAGTCTATACCAGCCAACATGTTCTGATGATTCTTGAAAGGTTCCAGCTCGTCTTCTGTAGCCAGAGTCGAGTGCGAGGAGATGTTTGGGAAGTCGTCCTCCAGATACTGCATACTTCCGTTCCCATAGGCCTCACCAGCTACCAAGTAAATCCTAGTGCTGGAAGGAAAGCCCAGTGCTCTCAGCAGTAGAGAAGTCTCCCTGGGAGTCAATGGACAACCACCAACCAACCTTCTTTCTGTCCCATTTATTTCTTTCTCCTTCCAATGATTCACATCATAACGCATGCTTCGTAGCTCCTCGTCCTCTTCTGCGCTCAAACTGTGACTGCAGCCAGTAAATGCAAGCATATCCTTCTCATACCTGTAGCAAATGGAGGAAGTGAAGGCATGAGCCAAAATAGCATACATAACTATTAGACGATGAGGCCAAACACATTTGAAATGTTTACAGTCATGCATTCTCATGAAAATATTACGAGCGTGCTTGATGCGCATGCAGATGTAGATGCACCTTTTTGTTTTCTGATACAACTAACAGTATGTTCACTTTTATCCAACCAGTATTTGACAAGACAGGCAGTGAGTGGGTCCATCTCAGCTGATGATGAGAATTCTAGAAACTGACACAGGATTTAGCAAAAGCACAACCAGAACCAACCTCAAATGGAGTGCAAGGTAAGGATTCCCATTTCCTCTCATTCTTGCCACCAGCAAGTTTCCAAGTTCTTCTATTGGTTTGGCATATTTCAATGCCCTGTAATTCACACGACATCTTAGCTTTTGGATAGAATCCGGGATACCATTATTTGCAATCCGAGAATCAGTGTGCGTAAAGTAGACTACTCTGTGCTGCTTCAACAGTGGCAAGACCTCATTTTTATAATAGCTAACCTGCAAAAAGAGAAAGGCAAGTTGAACAGAATCCTTTCAAATAAGAGAACACAAAAACTTCATCCATGATTATTTTGCAACCTCAAAAAACCAATAAAGCAACAAAAGTTGTGTCGACCAACCTTAGACCAAGATATTGGTGTTTTCACAAAAGGCTCCACTCCTGAATAAGATGCTGGCAAAGCCTCAACTATGTGTACTTCATCTTGTAGCGTCTCGATGAAATGTTGCCAATTGAACAGATCCTTGAAGTCACTGAACCATATGACGTAAATGAGTTCCCTTAAATGTAAAATAAACAAAACAAAAGAACATATTTCCATCGGCCTGGTATCAGCAAGGACATGACTGGCCACTGAACCTTGCATTTATTACAAACATATTCCGGTTCAATACTCTCCGTATACCATGATCCAGTATTTTCTGAATGTAGTCTTGCTAAGAATTTAAGATACAAATGTGCTTACCCACAAGAAATCAGAGCCCTTTGAGCAAAATACCCATCCCAGATGAAATAAGTTGGAGATTGTGGCATTCATTGCTCTATATAACAGAGAAATCTAGAAATTAAAGAAATTGTGTAAGACCGTGAAGCTTAATATACAAACCTGTCATCTGCCCAATACGAGGTGTGATCAAGAGAGGGAAGGACCAGTGTGGCCTTCGTAACCTTAGCCACAGCGACCATATCACAGATCTACACATTAAGAGCTTTCAGGGATCAGGATGCAGTCACAACAGAAGGAACAATCAGGCAAAAGTAACTAAGAAAAAAATAAGAATAAGCAGCCAGACCCCAAATCTCATCTGATTTAAGCCACCATTGGCATTTATGAGGATATAACCGTTTGTTTTCGCATCTAGCCCTGTCAAGAGACGAGACCAAGAATTAGAGGCAAGGAACAACTGAAAACAGCAGATAAAGATAGACAAGCTGAATATGGATAGAGGAGAGGAATTACAAAATGTTCAAACTGTTCATTAATCATACTTTTGTGACTTCTTGGTAAGTCAATGCAGCGGGTGAAATTCTCACTGTCAGGTCTTGCCCAGATACCTGACAACTTAAACCATAAAAGATAAACTTCAGAATAACCCAAATAACACATGAACATCAAAATCCTTTCACTCTGAGTAGTCACTGGGGCAAGCGGTTGTTGTATGAAGCCAATATCCGAATGAAGAAAGAGAATGAAATTCAACACTTACTTCAACCTTGACACTATTACTGTGAGCTAGCCCTGTGGTCGACGTCCTTAGATTTCGATCCACGTCCTTTTTCATTCAAGGTGTAGGAAATACAGTTAGCAATCAAAAGTCAAGTACCGAGAATGAGGAACAGAGTATTGAAACTCAATACTTACTTCAACCTTGGCATCATCACTGAGATCTAAACCTGCAGTGACTGCCTTTAGATTTCTATCTGCATCGCCATTGTCTTTATACTCAAAAGTGTCAGAAATGTGGGAGCTCTCATCCAAGTCCAGTTGGGTTACATGATCAGGCAAATCCTTATTGGCAAACAAGATAATGTTACTACAGTAGTCGAGGAAAATAACGATCAATGCATAGATATTCACAAGAGGAGCGCACGTATCTAAGAGAGGCAACCAAAACCAAACAAACCCCAGGAGTGGAAGTTCATTGGACCTCCCGAATTGGGAAATTCAAAGCAGGAAATTGGAGTTAACAATGTAAAACGAGATATGTCGAATTTTACTCATTGTAGCAGTGCACCTAACTTCCGTCTGTATCTGTCTCACTACTGCTAGATCTTAATGAAAGCAACAGGAATCCATTATCCAGAAGCCAATCAATGGCGATAGTAAGCCATTCAATTGCACTGAGATTCATCATTAACCTGAAGCCCAAGGAAACAAAAACCGCCGGAAAGCAGCTCCAGCCATCACGACTTAGATATTGCCTGAATGACATCAGCTCCTCCAGGCGACACACATGGCACTTAGGCCTTAGCACAAGAAAGCTCAGCAGCAGTTGACTATGAAGGACAAAGCTCTAAATTCCAAATCACGAACTCCTGTGCCAATGGAAGCTCCAAAAGGAAATTGAAAAGGAGAGAGAGAAGAGGCACCTGCTGGTAGGTGGCGCCGTCGAGGTCAGATCCAAACCAGCCGCCGGCACAAATCTTGAAAACGCCCAAAAACAAACAAACGCCGCAGAAGGCAAAGAACATCCACTGCCCGAGCTTCTTCCGCTCCCTGAGACCGAAATCCCGGACGACGGATCCGATTCCCCCACCGCCCTTCCTACTACTCCTCGCTACCCCGGCGTGAACTCTCTGGACGAGGTGCTGGCGATCGAAGCCGTCGACGACGACGACCTCAGATCTAGGCGAGGCGATCTGGAGATCAATCTCGTCCCCCGCGGAGCCGAACCTGGGGCTGGCGCCGGCGCTGTTGGAGGCCGCTTGAGCAGCGGTGGTGTCGCCCGCGGTGCCGTTCGCATTAGCGGCTGCGGAGGCGGCGTTGGGGTTGCGCTTGAAGGAAGTAGTCCGGCGAGTCATGGAGCCCGTGAAGCGAGGGCTGTTGACTCGCTGAGAGACGCCATCGCTGGTGTTGTGGTGATGGGCGTGCGAATGGGAGTGGTGTCCCATATATATATGGAAAGGGGGGGGATTTCAGAGTCGCTGTACGGCCAAAATAGAAATGTCCGGAGCAGAAGAGGAAGACGACGAAGAAGGTGGGGGGGAAACAAAATTGGAAGCAATTTAATGTAGATGGGGTACGCAGTGTTTGTGGTTGTTTGTTATTTAATTAGAGACGACGGAGTCGGAGATGGCAATCGCGGTTGGGAATTGACGTGGTCTAGGAGGAGGAAGACGACGACGACGACGATGAGATCGCCATTAATGGCGATTCAAGTTCAACTGTGGAGGAAGGAGGAGAGTGAATGGGAGGGCGGTAATGAAATCTGTTTGGGTGTGCGCGTTGGAATGCGGGCGGTGGTCGGGAAACTGATTTTTGGACATGAAGGAATTTATTTCGGGAAATTCTCTTTTTTTTTTTAATATTTGGAATTTTTTTTCTACTGTGTTTGAGAAAATTTAAAGTAAAAAAGAAAAACGGAAATGGAAAGGGAGGGAACTGGCATTTGGCAGTAGTTGGCCAGTTGTGATTCACTGATTAGTGAATGCGGACTCTCTCTCTCTCCCTTCGCTTTTACACTGTCAAAATCCGTTCCTCAAAGTCTCGGAACTCAATTATTAGGTGTCGATGGATTCTCAAAATACATGCATCTCCGGAGTACTTTTTTTTTTCCGTGTTTGATTCGAAAATAAAAGTTTTGAGTTTTGAAAAATTTGTAGGTTTTGGAGTTAAAAAGAAGTTTAGATTCGTGGCTTCTACAAATTTGCATATTTTAACATATAATCAGTGGCGGAGGCATCATTTCAAACCACCCATGTCCTTTTTTCATAACTTAAATATATAAGTATCTAATAAAAGAATTATTTAATACATGATCTTAATGCATGCATTATCGAAATACAACATTTCTAGGATTGAAGGTTTCAAACGAACACTTAAAATTTTCCCTCTTTTTTGTGTATTGTATTTTTTTGTGATTAGATGCATCTTAGCGGATATGTTCAACTTTACTTGATCGTTACTAATACCTGACAAGTATGGATGTAAGCGATTTGAACTCACCATCTTGTCGATGGTCGATGGACAGTGACGGAGGGAGGTAAGGAGGAGAGGGCCAGAGGGGTCCTAGGACCCTACTTGGCAAACAATTGAGCAACAAAACCCTTTGAATGAGGAAATGTGTAAACGAGGAATTTGGATTAAAATCTCTCAATTAAAAATTCAAATATTTTAAATGTAGGATTTGACCCAAATTACTTGTTTGGAAATGAATGAAGAATTTTAATTAAAAATAAAATTACAATTGTACCCATCCCTAACTTATCCCTCATTTGTGTTTGTTTCTTCTTCTCTTTCCTCTGCTGTTTGCTTTCTATTTTCACTATCTCGAACAAGAAATCCAGCAAATCAGATATGTAGAGACGCCGATGGAAAGCCCAGTTCTACGTGCCAACGAAATCGCCCACATTTGGGTCTGCACGCCAACGATAACCCCATGTTCTGCATCACCGTCGGCGGTGCTTGCAACTACCTTCTTCAGCATGTTTTCGTAAAATTCCTAATTACGAAAACCCTCATGTTACCAAACGCATGATTGTTTTAAAATCATGCACAATGAGAGATTGTTTTAAAATCCCTCACTACAATCTCTAATCCAAACGACCCATAAATGTATAGGTTTTAGTGCGATAATTCAAGTTTAGGACCCAATAGTCTCGACGATGTTAGCTCACCAAGGACCCCGGTTAACTCCAAAATTCATCAGGTACACAAGCATTAGTGTTAGTAAATTTTTAAGGACTCCAATGAACTCGATATCTGGCTACGCCACTGTGGCGATGGTTATTATTATTTCTGAAAAATGATGGATCTTAAAAACCAAAACTTGAGAGCAGACCGTATTAATCTCACGCCTTAGTACTTAAACCACTTATTGTCCGACTTTGTCTGATAGAGGCTATTCAAGTCAATACAAAGATAATAATAGTAATATTTTGATTTCGTGAAAGCAACAAAACATGTGATCTTTTGGAGGAGGGAAAAAAGAGATCAAAGCGAAAGATCCATATCTGAAGGTCAAATGTTGGAAACAAGTCCAATTGGCAGTTATCAAATGCTCATATCCTGCTGCTACGCCGCATAGGTCAATTTTATACGGCTTGGTGGCGTAGACCGGTTCACAAACCCAACACCTTCAGGAAAATCCTATAGGTGACATGGTCCATGAAACTGTATCGGAGACTGTATCGGAAAAGTCAGCGGTAGGGTATTTTACGGCAAAATCGTGGTTGAACCGTAGTTCAATATTAATATCGTTAAATACTGCCTATCGGTTTAGCCTCCGATACTGATATTTTGTGGTTGAATCGTTAATACGGTACCGTTTAATGGACCGTGGGGGCAAGACCACTCACAATTGACAATAATACTAGGCGGAAACAAAAGAGAAAAGTGGGTGGGAAATTTGCAAGATTGCTGGTCTGAAATGAGAAGGTATGGGGATCTCTCTCTATGTTTGGTAGGCAGGCTTGGTATGAAATCGAGCCGTGCGCTCGTGAAAAAATTACTATATAATTTAGCTTGTTATTAGACGAGTCTGATCTGCGTAAAGATTTGTTTCGACTTGCAAGATTGTTGGTTTGAAGTCGGAGAGCTATCTTGATATAACTTTTTAAGAGTTAGCTCGTGACCAATCTACACATAATATAATACAACGAAGGGAAAAACGGGAGCCCCATTTCAAATTTTCTGCAACGAGAGTGAAAGTAGGAAGGATATTTTGGTCTTCACAATGACTTTTTTTTATTCATTAAAAAGGCACGTACTGGGATTCGAACCATGACCATTTTAAAGAAAAGCAAGGATCATAACCAATCACACTAAGTTCATTTGTTGTATTTTTTTAAATTAAAAACATACAATAACATGGAGGAAAAAACTCTTCCCCCATTCCAAATTCCATGCTCCATGAGCGTTTGTAGGAAGGGTAGAATAGGGAGTGTCAATTTTTTTCTCTTTCCTCTGTGGAACGGGCCAACTTACCGTACACATGAGCATTTAAATGGGTCATGGAGTGTCAATTTTTTACTTTAAGCCCTTTTATTTCTCCGTGGTGATAAAGTATATATGAAAAGGCAAAAACAATACTCCTTTTTATTGCTAAAAAAAATTTAACAATAAACTAATGCATGGTATCTGATGGGCTAACCGCTAACCATAAAATAAAAGAGTTGAATGGGTCTGACCTACACGGGATTTGGCCATCAAGTAAAACAAACGAACATCATTGGTTTGTCATTCTAAAACAAGCTATTTTCTCTGGTATAATATATATCATGCTATTATTTTATATCTTAGTGGCTAAAATATAATATATTCTAAAGTTATTCAATGGTTCAACCTCGACCAACCCAATCATTTCAAATATATATTATATAATTATTTGATATCATAATGACAAAATAATAGTGTATTTTATAGGGAATCGTTTGGTATTTGTAAGTAAAAAACTAAACGGAAAGATCTATTTGGTTATTTTAAACATTAAAACGATCCTAAACATTTTCAGTTCCTTTTGAATTTCTATGGTTTTATTCTCGAATAGTGTTGTGCAAATGGCGAATTGCAGTCATCTCTTTTCTTTCACTAATTTTAATATCAAATAGAAATTTTAAAAGTAAAGAATAATTAGAATTTGGCATGGGTCGGTCAAACAGGCTGAATTTCAAGTTTTGGCCCGTTTTGATCAAGTCTAATTTATAATCACATGGTTCCCTGATACCCGATAAAAATCTCAATCCAAACCAGTTTGGCAGGTGAGTCCGTGTTTACCACAATTTTCTAGGGATACAACAATTGCGGTTCCTATCCCAAATCGTGTTGTTCGTTCTTGATTTTCTTAGATTTTATCATGGCCTGCCAAAAACTGGAAAGCACAATGACGACAAGATGAAAGTTTTATAAAGCAGAGTAATCGGCCAACGGGCCGAGTAAAAGCTAGCAACGATTGTGAGATGCTCATTTCCCGAAAACCGACGGGATAGGCGATTTTTTATTCGATTTTCTGGAATTTGGTTTCTATAAAACTTACTCCACCTCATCATATTACCAGAAACAATATTGTTTCACAAGGTAACAGGTACTTGATTTTGGTTCATAAGGCCGATTTTTTATTCGTCGCATCATTCATGTCTCTTTCCTGCTAAAATTCACTATTTTTATCCGGTGTTTCCCAAAAAATAATACTGTATTTTATAGGGAATCGTTTGGTATTTGTAAGTAAAAAACTAAACAGAAAGATCTATTTGGTTATTTTAAACATTAAAACGATCCTAAATATTTTCAGTTCCTTTTGAATTTCTATGGTTTTATTCCCGAATAAGTGATGTGCAATTGACGAATTGCAGTCATCTCTTTTCTTTCACTATTTTTTATTTTCAAATAGAAATTTTAAAAGTAAAGACTAATTAGAATTTGGCATGGGTCGGTCAAACATGCTGAATTTCAAGTTTTGACCCGTTTTGATCAAGTCTAATTTATAATCACATGGTTCCCTGATACCCTATAAAAATCTCAATCCAAACCAATTTGGCAAGTGAGACTGTGTTTACCACCATTTTTTAGGGATACAACAATTGCGGTTCCTATCCCAAATCGTGTTGTTCGTTCTTGATTTTCTTAGATTTTATCATGGCTTGAAAAAAATGGAAAGCACAATGACGACAAGATGAAAGTTTTATAAAGCAAATTAATCGGCCAACGGGTCGAGTAAAAGCTAGCAACGATTGTGAGATGCTCATTTCCCGAAAACTGACGGGATAGGCGATTTTTTATTCGATTTTCTGGAATTTGGTTTCTATAAAACTTACTCCACCTCATCATATTACCATAAACAATATTGTTTCACAAGGTAACAGGTACTTGATTTTGGTTCATAAGGCCGATTTTTGATTCGTTGCATCATTCATGTCTCTTTCCTGCTAAAATTCACTATTTTTATCACGTGTTTCCCAAAAAATTATAGTGTGTTTTATAGGGAATCGTTTGGTATTTGTAAGTAAAAAACTAAATAGAAAGATCTATTTGGTTATTTTAAACATTAAAACGATCCTAAACATTTTCAGTTCCTTTTGAATTTCTATGGTTTTATTCCCAAATAATTGATGTGCAAATGGCGAATTGCAGTCATCTCTTTTCTTTCAATAATTTTTATTTTCAAATAGAAAGTTTAAAAGTAATGACTAATTAGAATTTGGCATGGGTCGGTCAAACAGGCTGAATTTCAAGTTTTGGCCTGTTTTGATCAAGTCTAATTTATAATCACATGGTTCCCTGATACCCGATAAAAATCTCAATCCAAACCAGTTTGGCAGGTGAGTATGCGTTTACCACCATTTTCTAGGGATACAACAACTGCGGTTCCTATCCCAAATCGTGTTGTTCGTTCTTGATTTTTTTAGATTTTATCATGGTCTGACAAAAACTGGAAAGCACAATGACGACAAGATGAATGTTCTATAAAGCAAATTAATCGGCCAACGGGCCGAGTAAAAGCTAGCAACGATTGTGAGATGCTCATTTCCCGAAAACTGTTGGGATAGGCGATTATTTATTCGATTTTCTGGAATTTGATTTCTATAAAACTTACTCCACCTCATCATATTACCAGAAACAATATTGTTTCACAAGGTAACAGGTACTGATTTTGGTTCATAAGGCCGATTTTTTATTCGTTGCATCATTCATGTCTTTTTCCTGCTAAAATTCACTATTTTTATCACGTGTTTCCCAAAAAAAAACTATACAACAATAAGCTATACACCCCATTACATTATCAAATTTCATACCTCACCTTCCTCCGGCCAACTGGCCGGGGCCCACGCTAGTTCGTTATATACCGTTCATAAGTTTGCTCACTTATTGAATACTTTCAAAATGGTTGTATTATATAGCTGAAGTAGTACTATGATTCATTGATTTGGGACTTTATTATATATAAACGTGAATCAGGGTTACTGTTGCCTTAAGAGAGCAGCTAATCCCGTTATGAATAATTGGTTTTTTCTTTCTTTCTTTCCGAATAATTGATTACTGGGCTGAAAGTGTAAGATCTAAAATTTTGACTGCAGCTTTTAATTATTATGTCACAGGTGTCCAATGAAATGAACATCTTGGGCCTACGAGCAACAAATCTGGCCAACATTTTGAGCTAAACCTAGCTTTAGGGCCCGCATTTTAGGACCATATTGATGTTATAGGTGGGTGGCTTTTTTGTTGCCATTGTAAGAGGAATTAATTAGGCAAGTGGTAGACCAATAATTACACATGTTTGCACCCTTAGTTCTTATCCGTTTGTGGCTAGTAGTCGTGTATTTTTGGCCGTTTTACGCTGGGTTGTGCTACTTTGTCATATTTTAGGTCCCAAACGTCGAAGGAAAGGCTAAGCACGAGATTCGTGGCGTTTGGAGGTCATTCGGTCGAGCTGGGGGCAAAACACGGGCAGGAGGCCTGAAGAACACGGTCGTGTACACAAACAGGCACGCCAGTGTTTTTATGTGCGAGAGCTGAACTGATGGAAAAGCAAAACACGGGCTGGCCTAAAGAAAAACACGGTCGTGTCCATATTTAGGCACGACCGTGTTTTGGCCGACGCGGGCGTGTTTTTAACACGTAGCAAGGGCACGAACGTGCAAAAGCAAAACACGGCCGTGTCCTCGACCGTGTTTTGCCCAGAATCGGGTTTTTGAGGCAGATTGAAACCAAAGGAAAGGGAGAGCTGGGTTTTGGATCCCAAACACCCAAGGGACGAACCAAAGAGAGAGAGGGCGATTTGAGGGCATTCTTGGAGTGGAGCTGAAGGATTTTTTCGTCTATGAAGCTCGAGGAACAAGCCCGGACTTGAAGACTGATCATCTGAAGATTCTTACTGCAGTCTCTCTCTTCTCTATAGAGTAACCTCCCTTCACTTAGGTTTTCAGGAACCCTAGCTATGTTTGTTTGATTGGATGATTGTATGAGTACCCCTACTTGATAATCTTGAGTTCATATTCAATCTATGCACGTTTTCATGATTCAATTCTGCTTTAGTCGAGATTATTGATTCTGCTTTGATCCTATGAGAGCGAATACCCGATTAGGTCAATAGAGCACCATAGATTGATAGTATTGGATCGATTGCTTTAGTCAAGGATTGATTCACTACTTTGTATCGATTGAGAACCTCATTCGATAGAGGGAGTCTAGTTCAGAACGCCTTGATCGGTTGTTCTAGAGAAGGATACGTCCCTCTAGGCAATCGACTCAAGAGGGCCTTGATCCTTTAGTCAAGATTCAAGGTCTAGTCAAGGATTCTCTGCATTGTGAATGAAAGTGAAACAAGTTAGAAATCATCAATCATTAATCTGGCTAGTGGCTATGGGGAATCATACCTAAGTGAATTCCCAACCTGTAATTAGATTAACTTTAACTGTAGTTTGTTAGAGTAGTTTTAGTTGTTCCATCTTAATCTGGTTTGCTAGATAATGAACTAAAGCTGAGTAATAGTAACTCTAGAGACCCGTGAACTCAATATTTATTACTTGAGCCACTATATTGTAGTCCTTTTCATTGGTTACACTTGGCCATTGTTAGTAGTTGTGTCATAGCGAGTCAGCAAGGATGGTGAGTCATAATTCATAAGTTAGTAAAATACTATATGCCGCTAATCTCATTCTGAATAATTGGTTCTTTCTTTCTTTCTTACTTTCTTTCTGAATAATTGGTTACTGGGCTGAAAGTGTTAGATCTAAAATTTTGTTGGGCTTTTAATTATTATGTCACAGGTGTCCGATTTAATGAACATCTTGGGCCTACGAGCAACAAATCTGGCCAGCATTTTGAGCTAAACCTAGCTTTAGGGCCCGCATTTTAGGACCATATTGATGTTATAGGTGGGTGGCTTTTTTGTTGCCACGGTAATAAGAATTAATTAGGCAAGGATGGTGAGTCAAAATTCATAAGTTAGTAAAATACTCTATGTTAGTTACATATAAAATATGTACGAGTATTTTAATTCTTCTTTATATTATTGTTACGGTTGCGTAACAATTTATATTTTGATACTCCAAATGTAATTAAATCAGAATTTAGTTACTATAATGTACATATTATATTTTGATACTCCAAATTTAATTAAATCAAAATTTAGTCACTATAATGTATATTTTACATTTTTTATATTCCAAAAATTCATTAAATCATAAATTAATACATTTTACATTATGATACCCCATTTAATTTTAATGTAAAATCATTGAACA